AATTTTCGGTAAATACATGAATTTCCTAGTAATTTTGTAATTACATGTATTTCCTAAAACAGTCAGTAAATACATGTATTTCCTGAACGGTTTAAGAAATACATGAAATTCCTGATTTCACATATTTACTTAACATATACAGGTAATATGGAGTAATACTAAGCCTTTTTAAACAAATTAAGGCAACGCTCTGCATTTCAAATTATGAGACTAGTAAATGGCGTAAACAATGCATTATATAAGATATCATAATGCTTTTAAAGATTAATGCAATCGGTGGTTGCAGATAGATAGTGACTTTTGAGGATTCATCTTATTTTATAATATTTTCCTAAACACATTACTTAATTTTGCATAAATGTAACTCTTATCCTGACTTGCATTAATTTGTCATAACTATTTTCCAATTGCATCAAAATGAAAATATGATGGATGTGGTAGTATATTGCAGATTTTGTATGTTTTATTTATACATATAAGCCACATAAACATACCGTGCAACATTTTCTAAAAGTGCATCAAAACCCAATACATACATATTTAGTACGATAACAGTCGCATTTTTTCGAGAGAAGTAGAGAAGAGAGAAACCAAAAAATATTGTTTTCTCTCACAAACTAGTGTTTCTGTGAAAAATTATTTTCAAGCATTTATCTTTTACAGTACGAGAAATCAGGAACAAGTGCTCAAACTGAAAACGTCACTTTCTATGACGTATTGGAGAAGTGTTTACCAGAACAACACTTACTGAAAGGTCACATTTCGCCCGAGCGTTACTTTGAAATTCAATGTCCGCCGAAAAAGTTGAATAAAGACCAGTTGGAGGTAATAGAAAATGTCAGAAAATGTATCGTTAAAACCGCAAGAAGCCTTACTCACTGGGGCGAAAAAATTCCACTAAAATGGACAATATTTGAGCAGTTTGTTCGGGAAAACAAAGAAAAAAGAATTTTGAACAGACGCGAACTACAAAATATATCTGAATTTCACTCTTTACGTGAAATCGAGAGGGAAGATATGCTCAGATATTTTAAAGAGATAGGACTAATAATATACTTCGCTGAAGAGCATCTAAAACAAAATATCATAGGAGATGTCCAGTGGTTTGTTGATGCGTTCAAAAATATTATAACAGATCCAACTCACGCTCGTTCATCCTGCAAAAGTGTAAAATAATGGAATATTTTCATGAAAACCGGAATAATTAGTGAATCAACACTTGCAGATGTATGGAGTGAAAAAAGCTCTTTATATGAAGTTCATAAAGATATTACTGTATAGGGGATTAATTTCACGGGTTGTAATTTTCACGTTTTTCTCTCCTCTGACACGATCGCGGTTTGTTGAATTCGCGGAATCGGTATATAATAAAAGTTACCTCCCTTTTCTATATCCGTTTAATCCATAGCGTAGCTAGAACGACATTAATCACCATTATGTATTCACTTTACGAACAACAGGGTAGGTTTATATAAAATAGTTAGATTTAATAACTAAATGATGAAAAATTAAAACAAGTGCAGTTATTAAAAGTCCTTGACTATAAACGTCGAATGACTTTCCTATATGCTATTACGATGAGTGCATGTACACCCCAAGATCTTCTTTCCGAAGGGATAATACATCGCGGCGAAAAAAACACTGGACGGTAAGAAATGTGTCAATGTAGGTCGACGAAATAATTTCCTTCCACATCTTCAGCAAGTTCGATAGTTATTTGAATGATTTTTGAAAAAGAAATGTCGATAATAAACTAATGCGCAAGATAATGCAGGTAACATGTACACGTGATAACATAGTTGTGCAAGGCTAATAAAAACCCATGACCAACGTGTTTTGATTGATGAAACATGTAACGTTGGCTATTAAAACAGCTTTTTAACAAATACAGGTTATTATCTGCTGAGCTAAATTAAAGTAAAGCATGATAATTAAAATAATTGAATGACTAGTACGACTCGTAATTACTGAAATGACCATGTACTGCACGTATATATATATACCTATCGTAGTCTATTCTCAAATTTCCAAAAATAACATGGATATTATTGAAAACTTATTCACTGTTCCTTGAATTCACGGATTTATTTACACCGTGAATATAGCGAATATTAACACCGCGAGTTATTTTCCCCCTATACAGTATTATACCGTATATGGAAAAACTTGGCATACTGGCAACTATGCGAACACAGAGAGGTGATGGGAAGAAGATTGACCCACTGCTGGCGGCAAGAATGACTGAGACTGTGTACTACATTCCTAGCATAAATAAGACTGATTTTTCAACAGAACTCTCGGCAATTAGGGAAAACGTCAATAAAACCCCTGTTTTAGTATTTTCTTTCAAAACGTACATCCCGCATATCTTTTTCTTTAGACTTGTAGCTATAAGTTTCTCTGTGTGGGAGCCCTTACGTAATGACCTACTCTGCAAAAATGTTGCTTTTTACAAAGACAGAGGTGGTGACAGAAATATTGCTATTGCAGTTAATAAAACATCCATTCAATTGCAAGTGTTTACTCCAGATAAAACAATCCAGCTGGCAAGTGACAAAACCAACGAGATCAGAATTCATGTAGAAAATATGATTAAGGACATAATCACTACATTCCATCACCAAGTTCTCTATGAAGTCGGATACCCGTGTAAAGATATAAATATCACTGAGGAAGATGAGGACTGTTTCTTAAGTGAGAGAACAGTAGCAGAACTGACAACCAACAGAAGAATTTGCCCAAATCATGTACCCCCAACAAAGCACGAGAAACACCAAATAGTTTGTGACGATCTGCTGCATTATTGGTACATGGTACGCAATTTACACAATTAATCATTAAAACTAATTAGAAATTTAATTTTTAAAAATGAGTTCATCATGTTTAGTCTTTTTGCAACTTATTTATTGCTTCTATTATTGAAGAATTTATTATTTTTCCTATTATTTTGGAAATATTTCCTGACGCATCAATTGGAATATTAAAAAGTTCAATATTTTTTTTAGGGTCATTGAAGTTACACAGAATTAGCACAAACAGCATCCCTGGTTTCATCTCTAAAATTCATGACAATGAAAAGTTAATGCAAATCCTGAACATTTTGCACTGCAAACCTACTACTCTTCCATAATTGTGATTGTATAAAATGCATTAATTTTAATGATCCAGTCTCGATATTAAAAGGAACAGCTCATTAAAATTTCCGCTTGGTAGAGGGTTATCACATTGCATTTCAAAATTATTGCCAATATACTACAAGTGATGATACATGTCATACATTACAATTTATACTCGACTTACTTGACTTAGTCCTGCATGCTCCTTGGAGAGCATAGGGGCGCACAATTTATACCCAACAGATTTGATATTGTTTTGATATCAATAAAATTATAATATCTAATCATATGCCATATTCTAGACAGAAATTTCAACATTCCCATAGCTATTTGTTGCATAAAAACAATGATTGTGTGTTCTTCATTTTTATTTTATAAAGCATTCAATTTTCCTATAAATTTTATATGAATGTGTAGAATTTAAAAGTTCATTTTACTACATATATATAAATCTGAATAGTTTAATGCTTGTGTAACTATTTATCACAATGTTTTTTTTTCCTTTTGTTTCATTATTACATTATGTTTTTTCTTTCCTCATGTACTTCATCTCATATCTAATGTTTCTATACAATTGGTAAAATTCATTCATTTAGACTAAAAAATATTTCTGACATTAGTTGCCCTCGTCTTGATAGAAGAAATACATGAAATACATAATTCAATATAAATACATAAAATACACGATTCAATATAAATTCATATAGATTAAAGTTCATTTAACATCCAGACTGGATTCCTTTTAAATAAAGAACTGAGACAAACAGGAATACAAAGGGTTGTAGCTGAACACACACACATTTAGATACAATACACAAGAAGCATCAGCTGGATACCAAGTTCTTAAGATACTTATTTGAAAGTTTTCATGTTTTAATTCAAGAATAGCTATCAAGACATTTTCCACATATGTTGTACAAAAAAAATCATATTTTGGAAAATTTCATTTGACTAGATAACATGTAGATACAACATAGACAGTGTGTCATGTAGTAATATATCACAAACCTAGCACTCCATTCCACAATCTAGATTAGAAAATTAATGACAAAACAAACAAATCTTATTGATTACACAGATCATCTATTTTTAAATGGTCAAAATAAAAGCTTGAAAGTTATTTTCACTTGAGATGAATTCTTTGAATTTGAATTTAGTACTGTCTAAACAAAAAACTCATGTGCCACAACACTCACCTGAACTTATGTTCTATTTTATTCCTATTTATTCCCATACAAAACATCCTTTTTCCATTGCCTCAGGGACAACAACTCGAATAATCTGAGCTTGCATAACAATATGAGAAACAATAGCCAAGTTGTTCTAGATGAATTTTTAAAGATTCTGTCGTGTGTTTTCTTATAAAATTTTCTTAATCCCAATTGTAAGCTCAGTTTAGCTTAGACCTCAAGGACCATAATTTGAACAAATCTGAATCTACATTATATGAGGAATTAGGCTTTCACACATGTACATGTAATTCTTCACTTCTGGCTAAGTTGTTCTTGAGAAGATTTTTAAATGACGCCATCATATTTTCACTATTTGTTAAGCATTTACCCTTGGAAGATGAATTTCTCTGCACTTGTAGAAACTTGAATTTACTTCCCCTAGGATGCTTTATGCTATTTTGATTGAAACCTTACAACAGGTCAGTGTGTCAAGGTGTGAAAAGCAAAGGAGATGACAGCTTCAAAATTTTGATCAATGAAGCTCACTAAAGCCCTTGGCTCAGGTGAGCTTGTAAATATTTTGGTCAAAAAAGATCCTCAATGATGTTTTTTAGATTAATGTTTCATGTGTGTTGTAGCAACTTTAGGCTTTTACTGTAACTCATAATTCATCCATCTTCATATTCTCAATTTATGAAAAGAATTTTTGGCCTTAAACAAAACAACAACCACCTGCTTCAAGGTGGCTGCATGTGTCCCATTCTGGTGATAAACTCCAGCAGATACATCTGTAGTCTGACATCAATACTCTTGTTGGTGACGTAGAATCCTGGCACACCTGCCTTCTCTAACATGACCTGCTGATCCATTACCTTCTGATCCAGTTCCATGATTATCTTCATGTCCTTCTTTTTAACCTCTTCTTCACATCTCTTCTCCATTGTCTGTAAAAAGGGGAATTATAAGATGCTTAAATTAAAATCTATATTGACTAAGACTTGAAATAAACATCAGATATCTATTAATCATTTGCAGAAAATTGCTACTTCAATCAATGTTTACGTCTTTGTTCATTGAAAATGTCTAAAAATGTGACTAATTCAGTCCCTAATTGAACTGGAACTTTGTAAAATGAGTTATCAATGTGTTGAGGACTTTTATTTCCCTATCAACTACTTGTGAAAATGTTCAAAATTTTTTAAGAGAAGAAAAGAATTTCAAAAATAAACTGCATTTTAAAATAAATATACAAATGATCTAAGCCACAATGTTCAGATCTGCTCAAGCGAAACGTTCTGAATACATGTGAAATGGACAATTGATTTCAGTATCTAGGGTACAAGTTTTTCAAAATATTCTGAATTTTAAGGAGGAGAAGGACCTTGAGATGAAAAAATACTTGTCATTCAATTTTTTTTCAAATTTTGTATATTTCTAATTAAGTATGTCCCACATATCTTAAAGTAGTTAAATCATTAGGTTTCTTACCTTATTTTGGAGATATTGATTGACAAATACTATGCCCTACAGTATCTAAGTGGAGTTTTAATTCTCCATGTTTCCGGGCGCATTACTCTGTCCATAATGGGATTTTTTAAGCATACATAAAAAATATCAAAGTGGACATGTATCTTTTAAAATATTTCAGAGTATAACTAGGATTTAAAATTCGAAAAAGCAAGTTTTGTCTATCACACTGCATCTGGATAGGGAAAATAACGCACTTTTTAAGACAACTTAAACAATAAAAAGCGTAATTTACAAAAAATTCTATCATTCAATATTTTTTAATTTACGTTGAAATGCAAATCCTTCAAATTATTGATTAACTGTAAAAGTTTCGAATGATGAAGCTGACCTCATTATTTCACAGGACATCGTTGAAGAGGACATAAGCATGACAAAAACGTGTCATGTTACATTTCTCGAGTACGGGAAAACCCAACTATGACATCACACGTAAGCTAAATAAGCGAAATAAGATATACCTACGTAAGATTTCCGTCATCAGCCATGCAAAAATAATTTTTGTGTTCCCCGTTTCTCAAAATATTTCATCATATACTGATTATGACCTGTTTTTACATAATAATACCGCCCCTCTGTTCACCGAGTATGATCTTGTTGTACTAACAAATCATGTATGACGTCACCGACTTGTTTGACGCGCAGTTTAGGGAAACAGAGGAGTGGATCAATCTTTTTCATAATTTGTTAATGTTTACAAGAATGTTAAAACTTTTTTTTATTTTTTTGTATAAGATGGTAATTAAAGTTAAAAAATTGTCAAAAAATTATACAAGAACTGATGCTTTACACGTTTTGCGCTTATATAAACGGAGACTATGACATAGTTAAACAGAGTCATGTGACCAGGGTTCGACACTAACAGTGGACCGGCGGCCCGAGTCCACCAAAAAATTGGATGGTCCACCAAATGTTCTGGACTAGGTGGACCGTCGGTCCACTTAAAATTTAAACACTGTATTAAAAAAAAAACACGGTAAAATTCCTTTTTCCCCCTAAAAATCGACATCCGTAAATCAAACGATTAATTCATCCAAACTTGTTACAAGAAATGAATATGGTAATATTTGTTTTAATCAGGGGAACCTAGCGACTAATTATATATTTTACATATAATATTGATGACTACAATTACAATAACATTGAGACGCAAGAACATTCAACACGGACCTTGAAAAAGAAGCATGTAAAATTCGTGCCAAATTAGTCAGTCTGTCCTTTGTTTGTTTAATGCACAGAAAGGTGTGAAAATGTAGCTCATTTCACGCCTGAACACACACTGATGACCAGGTTTGGAGATAATTAGAATTGATTGACAGCTGCATTTATGCATTGTTTATTTTTTAGATCTTCAAACAGGCGTGATTTATATTTTATGAATACATTACATGTAACTGCAGTTCCTGTTTTTTTTTTCTGCTATACATATATAATATCACATAAAAGAATCATATGATCGCGGTTTATTTGAATGAATAATAATTAAAAATAATAATAAATAAATACATATAAATAATAAATAAATACATATACTTTTGTTCTGCATCGTAGTAAAAAAAATTTAGCCATAGATATATGAAAAATTCACTTGTTTATATTCACTTGTTTATATGAACAATTAGGATTTAACTTTTATCTACCGTTGGAAGCGAAATAAATGCAGGTTTTTACCATTGTTTGAAGAAATAGATTGTGTTCTTTTTTTAATTATTGAAAATATGTTTAACAATATTGCTGAAAACTCCTGACTAATTGATTTGATTCTGTTGACTGGTTAACTTATACTTTATTAGTCTTCCTGGACTGGGTACATAAGTTAGTTTCAAGCCTTGTGTAATGAATTCATTCATTAATTCAAACATTTATGAAGGTCCACCAGAATTTAAGAAGGTCCACCAATAATTTTTGACTAGTGGACTTGCGGTCCACCAAGGTAAAAAAGTTAGTGTCGAACCCTGGTGACCATGTGTCCTTCATCCCCTTAAAGGGAGCATTTGGACAGAATTTTAATTTCTACATATATAAAACCGCATCTCTCATATAAAAAGAAAAGCAGCATATTTTAACATTGCACTGCTGAAAACAGCACCTTAATTTGATATTAAGTAAATAAATAGTTTTCAGATGTGTACATTAACTAATCAATCCTCTCTGGGGCCATGGACTTCAGGGTGACAAGGTCATAAATTTTATAATTTTGATATATGGCAGTGTTTATTATCAACAAAAAGTTATTATTTTTTTCCTGCTAGATTTCAAGTAAAACAGTAAAAAATATTTGAATATTATGTGAATTTTGATATTCTTGCCTCCAGTAACCTAGTAAGCTAGCTGCAGAACTGTAGCTCTCCAGAAAAAAAAATATTAACAGACCGGAGAGCTACAGTGCCACTCATTGAAAAAAGTGTATATTTATTGTGCACAAAAATATGTGCTGTATATCGATTTATTTCTCCTGTTTTTCAAACTCCCATATCAAAATATTACTAACTGTTGTTCCTAACATATTCTTTTACTATTTCCACAACAAAACATTCCTTATAACTATTGTTAATACCCTCTTGGGCCTGAAATTGAGACTATCAAAAATTTCTTTTATTTATACTGCCATTTTGGGTGGCAAGATATTTTGGTCCAACGTGCTTTGTGCAGATGTCAACTACAACACTACAGTAGTTAAAGAAGTCTTATTTTTGGAAACAGAAATTATTCCAGAACAGGGGCACTGTTGTACACTATAAATATACATAATTTCCTATGGGTGGCACTAGCTCTGGTCGTTCATCCCATTTTAGCTACAGATCTGCAGCTATTAATCTAGACAAAATTGAATTCATTTTCTAAGACTGGGATATGTACAAAATGATGAGCGAAGACCTAGACTATCTCAAGCAGTGTATTATTATTTTTCTTGAATATGTGTCATTATTTTTCTTGAATAAAGTCTGTAAAATTTCTGAATTTATTTGTATTTAACATACCTCCTTTTCTCTCTCAATCTGAGTCTCTACTATTGGTAAATTGTGGGGCTTCATCTGACAACTCTGTAGTAATTCTTTGTGCCTCTTTTGCAGTTCATGTCTTTGTGCTGTACATGTAAATAAAAAAAGAAATAGAGATGACTTGTGTGGCAGTATCAAAATGGGTCAAACTTTAAATTCCTTTGATTATCAATAGTGACTAAAACCAACTGTACTCCTAAACAGGTGCCAGTGTTCCAAGTTGATGTCTGTTATGCAAAGGATTCTCAAGACAAGAGAAGAGTAGTTTGACTCTTGACCTTTGACTCTGTGACCTAATATCAACAGGGATTATCTTCTTACATGGTACCAGCACACCAGGCTTGGTGTCTGTCAAAACAGGTGTAACAGAGTTAAAAGTGGCTATGCGTTGTAAATAGTGAGGCCACGCTCCTTCTAGCACTAGCTTAGTGGGTTAACCCTTTAGCTCAGTCGGTAGAGCGTTGGATTTTAATTCTGAGGGTTGTAGGTTCAAGCCACAGTGTGGACACCCCTAGCTAATCGGTCATACAGGGTGTTCAGAATATTGAGTAAACAGTATCTTTCTTTATGAAGTAATCAGGAATTTTGATGCTCTCTGATTGGTTCAGTATTCAATTCTGTCCTTAGGTGTACCACAGAGTGAGTTCACCTCAAAATGAAGTTCGAAGCAGTTTATTCAGATTTCCTTCCTACCAAACCATACATGTATATCTGCTTACAATTTTATCGTCTAATTAAATTGCCCATCTAAAAATTTGTTTCATTGTAAACATTAAAAGACAGATGCCAGTATGGAAAAATCTAATATCCTTTATTAGCAAATTATCAATATTTAATTATTGATTTATAAATTAAATAGATTTCCATTTTTTTTAAACAGTTGTTGAATTGTTGAAATATAACTGATATGCAGTAACACAACATAATTTTAATTTGTTTGAGACAAGCTTTTAAGACTTAATTAGCATGAAAATGTAACATTCCTAATTATTTATTTCAAAGATTAACAACTTTTTGAATTCAGTTTACTCTTGATTATACAGACCTGGTGAGGTATTGCATAATCCTTTCGCTGGTCACACAATACCAAGCTCCGGGGCCATAATACTGAGGTGAGCTAACTTTTGATCTAAGTCTCACTTTTACAAAAGGTATATATAGTGGAAAAGTGAGACCGAGATCAAAAGTGAGCTCGTCTCAGTTTTATGGCCCTGAAGCCAAGTCCGTATAATCATATTAAGATGATGATACATGTAAGTACACCTCATCAAAAGTAAGTAATTGAATAATGCCTAGACAGTTTGACCTTTATCCTGCTACCTCAAAATTTCAAAATTATTAAGACTTCAAGCCTTAGAGTTACATGTTGCTGTAAATGGGTATCCAATTTTTGTGGTCATTGATGAGTTTGACTAAATGTGTCTTAATCTTGTTTATCATTAATGAGTTTGACTCTGTGTATGTGTCTAACCTTTGTGGTCATTGATGAGTTTGACTCACTATGTGTATGTGTCTAATCGTTGTGATCATTGATGAGTTTGACTTGCTTTGTATGTGTCTGCCCTTTGATATCAATGATGAGTTTGACTGGCTGTGTATGTGTCTAGCCTTTGTCATCATTGATGAATTTGACTCGCTGTGTAATAGTTCAACCGTCGTGATCATTGATGAGTTTGACTTCTTGTGTGTATGTCATTGTGTCTAACCTTTGTGATCATTGATGAGTTTGACTCGCTGTGTGAGTATCTAACCTTTGTGATCATTGATGAATTTGACTCGCTGTGTGAGTATCTAACCTTTGTGATCATTGATGAGTTTGACTCGCTGTGTGAGTATCTAACCTTTGTGATCATTGATGAGTTTGACTCGCTGTGTGCATGTGTCTAACCTTTGTGATCATTGATGAGTTTGACTCGCTGTGTGAGTATCTAACCTTTGTGATCATTGTTGAGTTTGACTCGCTGTGTGCATGTGTCTAACCTTTGTGATCATTGATGAGTTTGACTCGCTGTGTGTGAAGATGTCTCTCCTCTAACTGCTGAACTTCCTGTAGACTGCGGACGATTTCAAACACCGTACCATCCAGCAAGGAGCTGGCCAGACCAGACAGCAGATCATATGGGAGTCTTTGTTGATATTTACTGAAAGATAATTACATAGCATAATAGAAACACTACTACTTTGTTTTTTTCACTGGATTTTCATTAGAATTAAGATAGTCCAATATTAAATATGGTTGCCATAATTGCAGATTAAGATTAAATGCATTCAGTAATTGAGTTGCAAGACCTAAGAATCTTAAATTAGTCAGAATAGTTATTTATTAGATCATAATATCCATGGTACAAAATACAAAATGAAATACACAAAAAGTTGTGAGTGTAGTATTTGTACTACAAATACTACACTCACAATTTTTTGTGTATTTCACATCAGAGGTGCTTGAAGAGGGACACCCTTGGACCCTTACCCTGTCCTGTACCCAAAAGGACAAGGTATGGTAATGGCCTAATCTGGCCCCTTATTTGATGTAAAAATCAGAACTCAGTTAAAATTGTGATAGTTTGTAGTTAGGAACTTATTGATGTTTGTTTTAAAACCAGCACTAATTTTGATTTAACGCTTACATGAAGGCCACAAGAGGGTGCAGAAGTAGGCCAATTTTCCGAATTTTCTCAATTCTGATGGAATTTCGTCAAATTTAAGATACTTTTCACTTCGGGAAACATAGAGCACAAGCTTGCCTATCTGAGATTTTTATACATAAGATGCATCTGATACTAGTGTATGAAACATATAAATTTGGCAGATAGGCAAGCTTGTGCTCTATATTTTCTGAAACAAAATGTGTTGTAAAATCGATGAAAATTTGCATAAAAATGAGAAAATTGCAGAAAATGGCATATTTTCTGACCTTCCTGTGACCTCTGTGTATCTCATCTTCTTCTTCTTCTATTTACAACAAAACTTCAGAGCGCTGAAGATTACTTGCTGGTGCGCATGCGTGACCTAAGCAAATTAATATAAAGAAAAAACTGTGCTTTTATTTACATTTGTGATTAAAAGAAATGTTACTTTTTACATGATACTGTTGAGGACAGCTGGGGTTAGCTGTTCTCTAAAAATTTCTACTTTAGTGGCTTGGACAACAGACTGGGGAAGCAAATTCCATTGTATTATAGTTTGTGGAAAAAAGGACCATTTGTATGTTTCTTTTGATGCTTGTAAGTGTCTGTATGTTTGTGTGTGATTTTTTCTGGTTCTTGCATCTGTAGGTATGAGTATGTCTGTGGGTATAGCAACAAGTTGATGAACTACCTTGTAAAACATTATTAATCTGGTTTTGAGGCGTCGCTCAGCTAGTGTTGGCCACTGTAGTGTACTAATCATGTCTGTAACGCTACTGGTATTGTGGTAATTGTTATGTACATAGCGAGCCGCCCTTCTCTGAACCATTTCAAGTTTTTGTCTATACAGTGTCGTATGTGGATCCCAAACACTTCAACAATACTCGAGTTTAGGGCGCACTATTGCTTGATAGGCTCTGGATTTTACTTCTGTGTTTGAAATTTTCAGATTTCGTTTAAGGAATCCTAATGATTTATTTGCATTTGCAATAATATTGTCATAATGTGTGTTCCACTTTAGATTTGACTGTAATGTTACACCTAAATACTTGGCTGAACTTACTGACTCAAGTACATGATCATGTAGAATGTAATTTTGAGAATATGTCCGTTTCTTATGAGAGATGGTAAGTTTAGTACACTTGTCTGGGTGGAAAGCCATAAGCCAATCAGACTCCCACCGTGCAGCTGCATCTAGATCTAATTGTAGTTTGTGACAGTCCTCTGGTGTTTTTATTTCTTTGTAGATGATACTATTGTCAGCAAAGAGCCTTAGTTTACTATGATGGAGATATTCAGGGAAGTCATTTATATAACTTAGAACCAATACTTACAGTATTTTGTGGCAGGAGTGACACAGGTTTTTATTGATAGACTGTTGCATAATTCTAAAAGACACCCCAAGCCAGTGGTCAAAAAGGGGTCTAAGCCTATCTTGTCCTTTGTTTCTCAAAAAAAAAAAAAAATGGGTTTTCCCCTTCTAGAAATGGTAACTTCTGATCAATTTGTTGACAATGAGGAGTTGCATGTGTAGAACATGAAAATGCTCAGGACTGAAATTACAATGGTACACAAATCAGCAATGTGTTAATATATTAATAAAATCTTAAGATTTCCAGTCGGTAAGTAGCTTCCATCCTCATTTTTTTTTTTTAGGACTTCCCATCGAGGTGTTGAAATTCGTCTGTCAAAGTTTCCAACTTCTCTTTTAATATCACAGAGTACTCAGTGTGAATTGTTTTAGGTTATATTCTGGATTTTTCAATTTTAATGCTTTGTGTGTCATAGAAAAATATTTTATATAAAAATGTCAAAGTACCCTTGGGGTAGGGAACACTTGAGGGGGGGGGGGGTCCCTCCCCAAGCACCCGTGTGTTCACGTTTCCAAAAAAAAAGAAAAAAGAAAAAAAAAGCAATGCAAAGCATATAAAACTGGCATTGTAAATCCCTTAATTACAAACTATTGCTCTAGTTTATCACAGATCTATATATACCCCGGTAACTCTCGGGCCATGTTTTGAAGCTCGCTCTGGTAAAAGTAGAGACGTTTTTGCTGACTTTCCTTCTTTGCTATTTCCTCTTTCCTTCCGGATATTTCCTCCCCGGTCTGAGAGGGCTTCTGTGTGGAATCAGCTCGTCCTGTAGTGGTACTCTTAAACCGAGCACTCCCCGGTAAACTGTGCATTTCATCTATCTATCCTATCGTGGATCACGATTTTTTCTCAAACGAATACATCACCGGAAATCTTATTGACGAGTGTGACTAAAATGGGTAGTAAAACCCGGGCCGGGCCGGGAATTTTGAAACTGAAAACCGGGTTTTTGTTAATAACTGAAAAAATACTTAATTATTTGTCATGAAACTTACAGATATAATTAAATACAACACAATATGCCTTCGCTGAGAGTTTCAACTCCAAATATTTCTTTTTTCAATGATTATCGACGATTGTCATTTTCCCGGTGACTAAAATGGGTAGTAAACCCGGTTAACATATTTTGGTGTTTTGTACTTAATATTATTGAAATAATTGCAGTTTTTTGTATTGGATAGATCGAAATGACCTTAAACTGCCAAAAAAGTATTACCATTGTATAAATATTTGCCGATTGTTGAAAATAAATGCATTTTTGTATACCTGGGACCGACCTAAACCGGACACGTTTACCCGGGACGAACCTTAAATTTCCGAGATAATGATGATAGTTGTAAATATTCCTGAACCAAGCCAACTGCGTAGATTTTATTTAATTTACTGGTAATATCTTCATGATCTTAATTTAACATGTTCCAAGCCAGCTCTCCAGACATATGCATGTTATTTCAGGGAAATGATTACCTGAATACGAATCTAGCTGTAGCCTACAGTCTTTCTCTTGTCAAATCATTAAGATACATAACTCCATTAGTATTTATATATAAAAAAAAAAAAAAAAAAAAAAAAAAAAAAAAGAATTGTCGGGATTTTTGTGTATATTTCATTTATTTTTTCCATTTGTTGATTTATTTTATTAATTTTTATTTAAGGGGGGGGGGGGGTGTTAGGTTAATTTTTAAGTAAATTCTACATTATTCTCTGCACCCGGCTGATGGCAATTTTTCGGAATATTCCAGTTTGTCCCAGGCAAACGCGTCCGGTTTTGGACTGTGCCGGGTATAAAAAATCGGCGATTATTTTAATTATCGACATTAATTTTTGCAATTGTCGTAATATTTAAGTTCTTAAAGTTAATAAACAATGATGAAACACAAAGAAATTCCATTTTTGAGTGTAATTAGCTTTAAATCAGCAAAATAAATAAACCGGGCTTACTACCCATTTTAGTCACCAGGAAAATGACAATCGTTAATAATAATTGAAATACATAATATTTGGTGTTAAAACTCTCAGCGAAGACACATTTTGTTGTATTAAATTACATCTGTAAGTTTCGTGATGAAGAATTCATTATTTTTTCAGTAATTAGCGAAAACCCGGTTTTCAGTTTCAAAATTCCCGGCCACGGTAAATTTAGAAGAAATCAAGCCAGTTAAAAAATTTCCGAATACCTTCACGGAAGCGACGTTTCTGTGGCATTTAAAAAAAAAAAACTGTTTGCTCTCTAGAGCACTCTAAATTAACGCAGACCAGATGGAGCAGCCTCAGAGGAGTAGATTAAAGATGGAATTCAAAAAGTAAAACAACTTGTATATTTTTTGTTGAAAGATCCTGAGCCGAAGGTGGATCAGCTCTTGAAAGTTATATAAGATCATTTCAATTTCTTTATTAAATACAATTGCCTGATATTTCTTTTCTATAGGTGACTTGTTTCTTGGGGATTTCAACCTTAAGTTTATAAAATAATATGTTAGACGGTGCAGCCGTTAGTGAGGGCGGAGCCAGCAAGATAACATATCCATATGTTATTGTTTAATGATAAATCAGTGTTAAAATGTAATTGTAATAAGTGTCAGAAAATCATAACAAAGATCTCAGTCCTTTTTTTTTTAAAAAAAAAACAAAACATTCTTTTACCTCAAATACTTTTCATCCAAATAACGAAATTTAAGGGTATCTGGTAAACTTACAGTACACTATGTTGTTTCATTACGAGTTGCCTAGCCAGAGCACTCAAAATCAAATAGCATAACGGGAAAAGAGAGAGTACGTGCAGTGGACCAGTCATGGATTCAACCTACCCAGGCCCTAGAACTCTAAAACGTTTGTATCTGTCCAAAAATTAATAAACAGACTTTCCTGAGCATCATTTCTTTATTTTTCATGACTACATGCACATTTAAAGACACCAATATAGAAACATCAAGTCATTTAATACTCCTCAGTTACCTCCAGTGTATGGTCTTGACATTAAATACAAATAAGGACAATTGTCAGGGACCACATCAGATGACGAACTTGGGACCCAAACTCAGACAGATTATCTACCTCCTGGGTTATCAGGACACTTGGAAACTGATCATCTGACTGACACTAAGGCTGGGTATTCTGAGAAAAGTATCAGTATTGCAAAATTTCTGAGAAAAATTGTGCAATGCGTGTATGAGATATCTTTTTTTTTTTTTTTTTTTTTTTACATTAATTGGTTTCTCATTAAAAATTTTCTAAACTTTAACTTTAAAAGTAGATTTCACAATTTCAGTATTTTTTGAAAACAAATCTGATTCAAATAGTTTCTTAAGAAAAACGAATTTAACTCGATAAAAGATATCAAAATTTCAGTCAATTGTTTATGTGAATACTATATTTTTTAAAAACAAAACTTGTTAACAACAAGCACACTTCTGGGAAGAATCCCTTTTGTATCAAAAGTAATTGATGTTTTCTTACATCTCTATCCTATCCACCTCGCAATAAAAAGGATCATATATGGAAGCTTTAAAAAGGTATTTTTAGTACTGCTCAACAACATTGACCTCTTTACATGGATTACCATGGGTAATGTCAAATGAAGATTCTGTATTTGCTGGGTTTTTTTTAAGTCAAGAGAACATTTATTTACAGTATAAAAAACTTTATTATAAATATTTGCAGTACTGTATAGGTACATGTAATATATATTTGTGTATATTTATTTACTGGTACATGTAGACTGAACAGCTACCTCTCTGTCAATCATACATTGTTTAACTTAGTTTTTCTCATATGATTTTGGATTTAATACACTATCGTAATCCACCACGGGTTCCAACTGACTGAATAAATTTTCTGTTCCATGTTTTTAAATGTACTTTCTTAAATAAAAATTAAAAATCCTAAACCTTTTTAAAATTATATATTTGATCCGTTAAAGTGTATCACATGTATATATATAGATGGAAATGGTAAGTGTTTGTTCAAGTTCAAATGAAATATCTATATTAATTTTATAGGTAACAGAGTCAAATGTGGTAGTTTGAGCTTCAGACATGTTAAAAGATTTTTCTTTTGATGGTGAACTTCAGGAAACAGGAATTTGACACTTTAAAAAATAATAAAAATTTTGGGAAAAAAATAAACAAATTCACAATAACAAAAATGAGACACAGATCCCCACCTGCAAATGAATACATTAACAAGCAGGTAATCAAATCGGGTACAAGAATTAAATAAAGAGAGAGAAAGAGAGAGAGAGATAAAAAATTAAAATCCACCCCCCCCCCCCACTGTTCTGGAGTCCATACCAGAATTTAGTTAATCTTTTCAGGAAATATTCTACCAGTAAAACATTTTTTAAATTATTCAACAGGGAAATTATACTATTCACAAAAAAATCTTATATTTCTAGCTTGTTGTGTGTTGAGAATAATCCTCAAGACATTCGTAATTAGTAAATTTTATTATTAACAAATATTTCCTTTAAAGTCTGGTGAAAGGGGCCACAGAAAGATCCGCCCCTTCATGTGCATAATACGCAGTCTAGACAGTGACGTCACTGGAATTCGTTAAACCGAGTTTTTCCTTTTTTTTTATTTCTTCAAAAACATAGTATGGTTTATTAAAAGTTGTAAATCTGTAAAGTGTTTTTAAAAAGAGATTACGTATATAAAATATTAATTATGAAAGGTTGTTAAATAAGTCGGCAGTTTCCGCTGATTCAGTCAATGAATGATGTCATATGTCGGGTCTATGACGATCGATTGCAAGTTAGGCTAGGCGGCTAGGCCTAGATGAAAACGAAAGTAACAAGGATGTGTACTATAAAGATGTTTTTGATTATTGGAATTGAGGAAACTTCATTAACGCAGGATTGGAATTAAAATTACGATTCACCAGCATCTCGTTTAAGCGGGAATTTGTCGCGAGATTCAAGATGGATAAGACTATGGACGCCATATTGGCGACAAGGTTCTCAGTTCCATAGGTATTGCAATAAAAATATAGTTTACAATAGAATTCAATATATTTTACATACATACGTGTTACCTATAGGGAGAGCTTCGCTCTCACGGGCCCTTCGGGCCCGTGAGAGGGCTCCGCCCTCTATTAAGAAATTATATTTTTTTATATTTATAAAGTATATTAATTTTTATTTTAAAAAATTCAAATGTTGCCATTACTTGACAAATTTAATAGACTGAGATAAATATTATGCATTTATTAACAGCAAATTTTACACCCCAACAATACCCAAAGCATGTTATTTGCAAATAATTTTTTTTTTTTTTTTACATTTTCTGTGCAAAAATAGATAAAAAAAAATCATATCAAATGATTAAGAGCTAATATCAATCTTTCCATGCTGACATCATACTTCTAAAGAGATGGCTTAAAAAACCATTAAATAAAATGTTGGTGTAGGATAAATTCCTCTTTAAGGTTAATTTAAATATGGCCTTGAGACCATACCCTTGTGTGACCTTGAACAACTTTCATAATATACAGTTACAAACTTACAATATATACTAATTCTTATGTATAATACTATTAATAATGAAAGTATAGCCAGTAGTTATATGTATATCTAATCAGGATGTTGTACAGCTGTATATTCTGAATCAGATATCTAAACTGGTAAACTTTAAGTGAATGTCCCTTTCAGTAAAATCAATAAATAATTGTTTAAAAACTTGTCTCATTCTGAATGTTGTCTTCTGCAGACAATTTCTATGGAGCCAGTGGTGTCTGGATATACAAGTTTTACAGTAACTGTAATATGGAGAATTTTTTTTTAGCAACCACTACTGGTTCTTTTTTGTTTATATTTTCAAGATAATCTCCCTTGTTTAAGGGAAGCTGCAAAACAGAAGATTTCTAGGAAACTAAATTTGGACAAACACCTTGTGAGCTTGTCTTATTTTGTGTAATAGTTTGCACCGTGAAAGTCATCCAGGATAGCTCAGTTTGTAGAGCAGCAGCTGACTATTGCCGAGTCCAATTCCCAGTCCAGCCATACATTTTTTTTCCTTTTCTGTTACATTTGTAAACATGACATCTCATACATCATTTATACACAGTCAAACCTCGTTATCTCGAACTTGATGGGAGGGAGAAATTACTTTGAGATATCCAAGGATTTGAGATATCCAGGGTAAAATACTTATTATAAGGAATGGGCGGTTGGGACTTCCAAATCACTTCGACATAACCATGGTATTCGAGATATCAGTGTTCGAGATACCGAAGTTCGACTGTACCTACACAATTTTAGCAGAAGACCTCAAAAAGTCAGTGCCATGTCTCACAGGATAATATATTAAGCTTTTATTTAAGAAGAGATAACTGAACATGAGTATCAACTATGAATAATACTGTACTGTGACAAGACACATATGACATGCATTATTTCTTTTCGTTCAAAACATAAAATCAATCAACTACCAATTACACTGTTCTCATCCAAATAAAAACTAAAAAAATAAGACCTGCTCAGGGAATAAAAATTTATCCTATCACTATAACATCCATTGAATCTGACTCAGTGTTATGCACATCAGGATGATATTTCTTCACATGAGCCTTGAGGGATACATTGTGGTTGAAGGCTTTCGGACAATGCCTACATCTGTATGGTTTTTCACCCGTATGTAAGCGAAGATGTTTCTGAAGTTGATCCTTTTCATTGAAAGACTTATCACATGAAGGGCACTTGAATTCCTTTGTCTGGCTATGCATTCTTGCATGTCTCATTGTATTTCGGCGAGGGAAACGTTTACCGCATATTTCACATACATAGCTTCTGTCAACCCCAGTATGAACTTTCCGATGACTTTCCAGGGTTGATAAATGATTGAAGTGTCTTCCACACTCCTCACAAGTGAATTTTCTTTTACTTCCATGAGCTGCAAATTTATGGTTTCTCAGCTCTTGTTTTTGGGAAAATGTTTTGTGGCAAATATTACAAGTGAATTCTTTCTTCAATTGTTCTAAATGCTCCTTTTGCATATGCTTTTTTGTTTCCCACACATCTTCAAACATCTTTCCACAATATTTACACTTGGACGGAGTACCATGATATCTTTCAAAATGTAAATCCAACTTTACAACATAATTTCCACACAGATTGCATTTCTTTCTTTTGCCTTTCTGTCCATTCTGCAATAAATCCTTCTCCTTGAACTTAACCCTAATCTTTTCATTATCTTTCAACTGTTCTTCATCAAAGTCATTTGAGTTGTTATCTCCTACACATTCCAAATCCTCTGAATCATTGGTATCATTTCCATGTGTTGAATAAGATTCTCTAGATTGTTCACTGAAGTCTTCATTATCTGCTCTTTGAGTTTGATTTTCCTCATTTTCCTTTTCTTGAGAACTACCACCAGGTAAACTGTCCTCATTTTCACTCTCTTCTAAAGGTGTGGCTTTGCACAGAGATGAGGACACAGCAGCCACTGTATCATCATCTAAAACTAATTTAAAACTTGTGAATGGACGGTGCTTTTGACTTGGCATACTTGACTTGAATTTCTTTGGCTGCTGCATGCTGTCTGCATTTTTCTCACATGATGTTTTGGGTTGCTGTATTTCATTATTTGTCTTATCTTCACACAATTTCTTGTCAGATACTTTATTGTTGGAGTCACAATTGGATGGAACTGATGCTGCGGAATTCTGGGATAAAACTGGTACTGAATTCACCTGAACTTGGCAAGTCGGACTACAACTTGCACTATTTGATTGAGAAAAATCTGCTTGTTTGACCGATACAGAATTTGTTGAAATCAGTGCTGTGGAGGTCTGAGATAATACTGACAGCGAATTCATCTGAGCTTGGAAAGCAGGGCTACAGATTGTGCCCATTGACTGAGAATGGTTTGCCTGACTGACAGATCCAGAGTAAGTTGAAACTGGTGCTGCAGAAGTCTGAGATGATACTGAAAGTGAATTCTGATGAATGTGGAAAGCAGGTTTACAGGTTGTGCCCTCTGACTGATTGACCACTTCAGAACTGGTTGAATTTGGCACTGTTGATGTTTGTGATGAGACTGATAGTGGTTGGCAAGCAGGACCATTTGTCATGGCCTCTGTCTGCCCAGCGTTCGTCTGTATCAATGGCTCCTGTTTTGTCTGGATTAAGTTGTTATTAAAACCGTTTACAGTTTGTATCACTTGTTGTCCTTGTAATAATGGTGCCTGCATAAAAAATGTTCCTTGATTGCCTTGGACTTGGTTCAGAGAACCAGTATTGGTCAGTACAGGTTGTACTGCAATCTGAGGAATGAAGTTGTAAACAACTGGATAAGGAGTTCCAACAATCTGAACAGGATTCACATTGTTAAAGTAAACATTCTGCTGTTCGTTGATGGGTTTAGCATAATTAGCATTCATCAGAAACAGTGATGGGGCTTGGGAGGGCATTTGAAATCCTGTCGAAAAATTCATCATTCCAATATAAAGATGTGAACAACAGTCAGACCAGTCCAATGAGTTGTTATCTCTCTATATATGGAAGATGTCCTGCACTATTCAACCCCTGAAATAAAAAAAAAATAAATATATTTGATTATGAAAAATATAGTTTAACTTACTACAGTACTGTAAAATCCTTTTTTATGGTAATAATATTCATTAACTAAAAACAGAAAAACATGTACAACTTAATGTTCAGATAACAATAAGATGTTTGGTGGGGAAACTACAAATGGACATTGAAAAATTATATGTACAGAATTACATCTTAAAGAAGTTCTACATTACAAACAATCTCACCTTGGCCCTATAGTTTATAAAAAAAAAAAAACATTTAAGACTGCAATTTTTCTGCATATTCCTGTAAAGAAATTAACCCTATTATTTGGCCCCACACTGGAATCATGAGTTGTACAATCTTGGATCTTGATTGCATACATGTATCATACAGTTAGGAGTGACATGATATGTCTCCTTTACAATGAGATAAGCAGCTCTGGCATTTGTTTCTGTAATAATTTTTTAACCAATAGTATAATAATATCAACATATCAAGATACATGTATCCTACTCCAAATTACAACGAGTATCCCTCTCCCCAGAATCAATGTAAAAATGCATGTCCCAACGCAGGTATATAAAGGTTACACAAAGATTCTGACTTGCTTACACAATATGACATCATCATGGTCATAGTAGGCTATATGATGTGAACTTTAGCAATAACAATTTCCTATGTATTTATATTTCAAGATTTGTTTCAAGTTCTATATATAAATTAAGACAAGCAAAACATTATATAACAGGGTTGTCTGTAAGACCTGGGGTCGGGGAATTTCCCCACCTTTAATGACGTAATGCCCCGGTTAATCTGATATTCCCAATCAAATCCCTGTTAGAAGAGGAACCTGAGACCCCCTTCTACTTCTTCAGTGTCCCCTGCTTTCTAAGGGACAATCCTGTATAAGCTAAATCGTGACATTTTTGTATAAATAATGAAGTATTTGTCAAGATCGAGGTTTAAATACCTAATCGCATCTCCATATGAGTAAAAAATTCTCGAGAGGGACGTTAAACAAGAAACAAACAAACCTAACCCATGACGTTATGGCTTTTGATCAAATGAAACAAGACGAGAATTTATGCAAACAAATAATAAAATGAAATGGGAGTTGTAATTTAAAAGAATACAGTCACAGTGAATACCACTTGTGATTCATAGAGAATTAGTATTTAAGAATCAGGTATGCTGATTTATTTTCATCGTTTTTTCTTATACCGGTAATAAAGACAGACAGTTTTTTGAAATTCCAATCAGTCTTTTTTCTGTTGTTTTTAACAACAACATTCAAAAGAATATGCCAGATACTTTGAATCTTATTTTTTTTTGTTGATATCGAAAGCTTGTATTCCATAGTACTGTACTTGGAAAGTGCTTCTAGAATCGTGTACTTAACATGAATTGATGAAAATTCCTCGATCTTATGTACAAATTGTGTAAAAATTTTGGTAAGGTTTCATGGGAAAGTGTGAAATAATTATTTCTGTGATGGGAGAGTAAGATTCTAGCAGCACTTTTCATTGATGATGTTTTTAAAATAATTATTTTTACAAACAGATCAAAATGTATTATCCCCGGGGAAGTGTTGAACTTTTCACTTTTTTGTTAGGGCATATTTTTCTATTTATAGACGTCAAGTGATGAAGTCATAAAAAAGTGAGCCTAGTAAGATTCATTGACATCTATACAATGGGTAATAATAGAAATGTTTCATGATTTATCAATGTTACATTTGATAAATAACATTTGAATTTCCCGAATAATGCTTCTATTGCATATCTGCGAAACCTGAAAAACCTATATTGTTAGGGTGGGTGGGTGGAGGGGCATTGGGAGAGGGGAATCAAGGTAATTTTTGTGCTACTTTACATAATTAAACAAATCAGAACTCCCAAAGGAAGCACTGGACCCTAAAACTTACCACTCTAGATATGCACATGAGATGACTATTTGATTATTTCAATACTTGTAATGCGCAGTGCATTATTACTTTATATGTAACTACTGAGGAAAACAAAATTAAATTATGTATAAAATATTTTTTACACTCCAATTACCCCTGTAATATAATATTTGATGACAACAACCCCCCCTTTTCCGACTACTTTGCACCTTTATTGTTTAGTTTGGAGTTTTTTTGCTTTGAAAGTTTCATTAGGATTTTTGTTTGTCTGAAGCTTTGTTTATTTATCATAAAAATAAAATGATTCCTCTTATTCTATGTCATATCAGGGACCTATATACTAACGTATATAGGTCCCTGGTCATATTCCGCCAAAAGTGGTGCAAAACTTGTAAGAATCTAAACTAAACTACCTCAGCATGCTCATATAAAAGTACATGTAGTACAGTCAATGGAGTTTGTTCCTTACCAAAATATTCATTAAATTTCACTATATGTTGGCTATGCTCTTCTCATTCAGTCAGTCAAAGTATACAATGTTAAGTTGAAGTTTACTGTTACACTGTATACAATGTTTACACCGGAAATAGACATTGGGGCTCGGTAAATATAGATGAGTAACTACATTGTTATGAATCACTTAGTATCTGATGAATACATTATTTGCTACACCAATTGTTTGTATTCTAGTTGTGTTCTACTGTATTATTATACTTATTAATGTGTTCTATATGGGCCTTTACCAATTACTGTAATTGTGTTTGTGCCAATAAAATATTTGTATTTATTTGTATAGGAAACCGGTGTATCGAAAATCCCCAAAGTACCACAAAAGTACCTTTAAAAGAATATAGGGACCATTAAAGACAATAATGGGAAACCAGATAAATATTTGTAATCTGTAAGACCAAAAACGATTTAATTTATACATGTTATAGTAATACATGGACCGACATTTTCATCATTTTTTTTTATTTGTTTTTGTTTTTCTTCATACAAGGAAAATTTAGACGTCAAATTAATAATACATAATATACATGTATTTATAATTCATTTAATCAACATTGATTTTTATAAAGTAAGTTCATTTGCTTTAGCTTATGATGTATGAATATATTAGATTTTTTTGGTAACCAGCTATAATCATTCAATGACGATCTTGTGAATCTATGATTTTTTTTCTTGTTATATTTTTTTTCATCTGAACACTTTCAGTTCTTTTAAGCATTGACATTTTCAGATTTCCAAGATCGACCTGACGTCGCGCACAGTATTGGGGCCTATTTTGTAACGTCAGAATAGCGTCATTAAAACGCTTAAAATTTACGTCCAAGTGAAAGTACTGAAACATCCCAATCAGAATTGTTGACTTTTTCTTTTTCTTACGAGATTTTTTTTTTTTTTTTTTTTTTTTTTTTTGGATTATCTTGTCGTCTTTCATTCTCTTTTTCTCTTGCAATCACGTACATCGAGATATACTAAAATTCAATAAAGGAACCTGCCCTATATATTAGTAGCCCTGAATAATTTTACACTCCCCACCCTGATACACGTATAATTAATATACATTACCCTAGCTTGTCCTTTAGGCCTTGGTTTAGGATCCTGACGCACCACCTTGGCAACATTTGTGTCCAGTACAAGCCTATTAAAAATTTTCTCTATTTTAACAAAGACGAATTTTACATCTTGAGAATCTGTGACCTTGACATTTAACCCTCATTCAGTTCATGACGCCGTTTTGACGCAACTTCTTGTAATATCCATTGTAATATCCATTATCCAACATTTTGCCACGTATGTGCCTCTAAATATTCCCCCATTTAAAAAAAATATGAAAAATATAAACAGATAGATAGGTCCAATTAAGACTGATTCCTACATACATACACTCCTCCCCTAAAAATATTCAGTTGCAGGAAGTATATACATCAATGCTCTTTCTTTCAATTGAAGACACACGTTATTCAGGCCCTTAGGAAGCAATTTCAGTTTGGGGGGGGGGGGCACAGCCATACATTTTCAGTTTGAGGGGGCACTATCAACTACCAAAAATTCTTGACAAGCAAAAAAAAAAAGGGGGGGGGCATCAGGCGTTTTGATTGAGGGGGCACAAACATATAGTATCTATGTTTTCTATAGTAATCTATATATCGGCAAAATTATTGGGGGGGGGGGGGGGCACGCCCCCCCCCCCGGTTCCTACGGCCATGTTATTCCAATCCTCGGAAACTCAACAGGTATGCACATATAAGTAACATTAATTTAAAAAAAAGAAAAGAAAATATAAACAGTTTCGTAAGACCAAAATTCTCAAATTACGGGAGGGACGGAAGAGGAACAGATTTCAATTTCATTCTAATAATATTGGGTTCAATGAATAACACGATTAATGTGGGAGGCCTAGGGTTAGACTGCATATATACATGTACTACAACAAAAAATGGGGAGGGGGCAACCATCCTTTCTGTTAAATGAAAAATTCCATACAAAACAAGCATTCTGCACAAATAATAAATGGGAACGAAAATAGACTAAAATGTATTAAAACTTAATTTGTAAGTAACTCAATACATTAAGATTGACTTGCATATCAAAAATCACCCCGATAATCTGCAAGCGGATAGAGAAAAAAATGCGGAAGACAAAGTGTGACAGAGTGCATACAGACAGGTGGACGGACACAGAGGTAAGGGGCTTTTGAACTATTATTGTTATTCTTTTGGTACCAATTACAACATAATTGAAGATTGACCTACTTTTCATAATTTTACCAACTTTAACTTTGGCTATATCTTTTGAACGGTTAGTGTTAGGGTTTTTATATTTCATATGTATTATTTCATAAACCAGACATTTCTTCGAGTACCGACATTTTTTACCTTGACCTTTGAGTTAAAACTTTTTAAAACCTTTGAAACTTAGCCATAACTTTTTATGATGGATTCTATAGGGATTCCATATATCACATGTGCATTTCTTGTGAGAGGACCTTTCTTTGGTACCAAACTATCAAAAGTCTGATCTGAATTCTCATGACCTTGACCGTCGACTTGTTTTTGAATAAAAAAAACTTTAACCTTGCTTATAACTTTTGAACGGTTAAAGTTAGGGCTTTCATTATTTACATATGTTTTTCTTGTGACAACACCTTTTCCTTTACCTATATATTTTTGCTGTTATGACTTTGAATATGGCCGACTTTTGAAAAACTATTACAGTGTACTTAGTAGCCTTGGTAATGTTTTCTGAATGGCTGTTGCTACGGCTTTCATATTTTACAATGCTGAAAAGTGGCGAAATATGTATATATCCCCCAAAGTGCGCAGAAAACCTTGCGCCGTAAATTGCACAATATTTGCATTACGGGATCTGTAGCGTTATGGTCAAAGACTAAAACATAAAACCATAACGCTACAGTTCTACATCTATGTAAACTACTACAATATAATGAATCTTTCATTTGGGTCATCAATATGGCTCCAGAAATATCAGGAAAGTGGGGGGGGGGGGGTCATATTTGCAAGACAAAAAGGAATAGACATATCATGTGTTACTCCCTTTTATATTGCAATGTGTTCTTGAAAAAAGGTTTTCAATTATTTTCCAAGCATAATTTAATAAAACTTAGACTTTCTACTGTAGCCCTAATGAAATCCCATTGGGGGGGGGGGGGGGTTGCGGGAGGGTTTCAAGATTTAGATAATTGAAATCTAGATCTGCAACATATTAATTATAAAGAGGCCTTTTCATAAGTTTTGTCTTCCCTTCCCTTGTGATTCTTGTATGAAGATTTTTAATTGGTCAAGAGTTTATAGGTAATGAGGACCACCATGTCAATTAAGGACATACGCGCAACGTATACCTTATCTACTGATAATTTTTCAAGATATTCTTAATTTAAGATTATAGTGCCATCAGCTGTTCGTCAACAAAAAATCAGCATGCATTACCAGGGGTTTTGAAAAGATATCAATTGATGAAAATTCTTGTATTATTTAAAGAAAAATACACAAAAAAATTACTGAACATATAATCTAGATGTTTTGTTTATCCAAACTTGTTTTAGAAGAAGTGTACAAGAGCATATATAGACATAGAAATGTACCACACAATTCCTTTAAGTAGTGGAACTCTTCAACTCCAGGGAAAAAGACAAGTAATAGTTATTGTATATTTATTATGGTGTATCCTGATTTATTTGGACGAAGGGCGGTGACGAGTGCGAAGCACGAGTCTCCGCCCCTTCGTCCAAATAAATCAGGATACACCATAATAAATATTCAATAACTTTCTTGTATCATGGCCAATCAAAACGTCAATAATTGTTATGTCCCAAATTTTCAAGCATGATTTTTTAATTACACCAATAAAAAATTTAGTTTTTGTCAGCCGATCGCACGGATAATCTCTCCTTCCTGCCAGTATTTTTTAATTCGCACATTTTATGTGTGTGTTCATGAGAAAGGACGTCGGATTGCATCTCTCCAACTTAATATGAAAACGGGTTGTTAATGAAATTCTTTCGAAAACCTTTGGATATCAAGGTGGAAAATTCTGGTGTTAATCGAAAATCAAGAAAAAAAAGATACCCGTTTCATTTGACATACTCGAGAGCTGTGGCATGAACAAAACGCTGTGTTAACATCTCTTCATCTAAGGACGCAGTGCAGCTGAACTTTATTAGTTGAGCAAAGAATACAGCAAAGATGGTATATCCTGCTAAAAGGCTCTATTACAATAGGTGTGATATTTTAAGATATTTATTTGTGGAATTCATGTCAAGAACTTGGTTTCTCGATGCGGTGGATCGAATATTTGCAGAGTTCCGTAAAAAACATTTCGTATTTTGGGATACATATGCACTGTAATTTATTTATGTAATTTATATACTTTATTTCATTGGCAGAAATTTGTCTTTGTATATAACAAATCCCATTTAATTTTGTAATTCTTCAATATACATGTAATTTAAAATGTTGAAATCGCCTTGGTGTTCAATAATTTATTTACACGGCACAGTTTTTGCTGGCTCCGCCCATCGGTGTATCTCCAGTTATTGTACACTTTACTTCAAAGGAAAAACACCACAGCCATGATACAACAAAGTTTAAACTACGTTGCGTATGTCCTTAATTCAAATCCACTTACAAAGTACAAACCTTGACTTCTATTTTCTTTTGACTTCATTTTTGATAGTAACAAACACTTTTTACCTAAAGCATTTGCACCCAGTATTTTTTGAACTGTTAAATTAAATTAGGATATTTCTTTCTCTAAATAATCAATTCTAAAAATGCTACTGTAATACATCATTCATCAGAATGGGAGATATATACAATTTTCCATATTCTGATTTCAATGTTATTACTGGTAGTATATTTTTCCCCGTCATCTCAAGCCAAGGTCCAGAGTCCACATATAGCTCTCTTCAGAATGGGACAAAAATTGAAAATTTTGGCAGTGGTTTGCGACAATGATTTTTCCCCTTAATTTATATTTTAAAGAAAGATAACTCTTGTAGATAACTTTTAAATAAATATTTTCAAGAAAGATAACTCTTGTAGATGACAAACATAGATGACAATGTAATATTCTGAATAATTAAAAAAAAATCTTAGGCTAATATGAAACCAGAATTACAGTAAATATAATATATGTATGTATACTTTACTATGCTGCACAAAATATTGCCCAATGAAAACAACAGTTGCCCCCCAACCCCAACCCCCCTCCAAATAAAAATAGTTATTGTTTCAAGCTGGAACAGTATCAAGGTAATTCCCCTTATTTACCGTAAAAAAAAAAGTATTCTCTTCTCATAATCATTAAATTGTCATTATTTTTGTTCCATATCCTATGTCTTAAGTAGTTACTGTAAATATTGGATGAAAATACTAAAAAGTGAATAACTACATGTATCTATAAAACTACAGAGCCTCAGAGGATACATTTCTAGATTATCCATTAAGAACACTCTGTGGTTGAAAGCTTTGGGGCAGAAATATTTCACATTTGTATTCAAAAAATGACACATTTTCAACATGTTCATGTGAGCGTTTAGCATTATTAAAAAACATAATGTGGTTGATTGATTTTGGTCTCATATTTCACCATATTTGTACTGCTATAAATAACACTATTTCAAATGAAGTTGTTGGGCACTCTTTGTCCTTGAATGTGTTCTGGCACATCTCTCATTTAATGACACTTTTTCATGTGAGCCTTCAGGGAGACGTTATGGTTGAATGCTTTCGGACATGTCTTACATTTATATGGTTTTTCCCCTGTGTGAGTTCGAGAATGCTTGTCAAGCTGTTCCTTTTCGTTAAAACCTCGACCACAGACTGCACATTTTAAGGCCTTCGTCTTTGAGTGGGTTCGCATATGTCTCCATCTGTTATGAGATTTAACCGTCTTCCCACAAACATCACAAACTATTTGATATATGTCACGATGACTAGTGTTCTTTTCTGAATGCTTTCGCTTGTGCACATTTAAGTTTTCTTTACTGGTAAAAACTCCTCCGCATTCTTCACACATAAAAACACGCTTTTCATGCTTACTTTCTTTGTGAATTCTTAAAAAGGATTTCGTCGAGTAAGATTTCTTGCACACTTCACAGGGAAATCTTGCTCTGTTTGAATGTACACGTAATATATGCGCTTTCATTTTCAGTCCGTCATCAAATATCTTGTCACATTTTGTACACTTGACAGCTAAATGTACTTTCTCAATGTGTTTATCAAGATTGGCATAATATTTATCACATTTTTTGCACTTTTCTCTTTTAGGCCGTACTTTTTTGGTCTTTTTGTTATTTTTATCATTTCTCCCAGATTTTTTGTACCTTTTATTTGGTCGATCAAATTCAGCATCAGAACCACTACCGTCTGAGGGAACATACTCTGAATGAGTTTCCATATGTAAATTTAACTGATATTCACTGTTAAATACTCCATAACACAGTTCACATTCAAATTCATCAGCACTGAAGTCATCGTCCGAGTTTTCTCCTGCAGAAATTATATCAGATGTATCTGAAGAAAGATCTTTGTCAGTCTCTAAGTTAGTTGTTGAGTTTTCTTCTGCAGAAATTGTATCGGAGTCACTATGTGATGTATCTAAATTAGTTGTTGAGTTTTCTTCGGCAGAAATTGTATCGGAATCACTATATGTTGTATTTGAAGTTATATCTCTGTCTGTCTTCAAAGGAACTGGTTCTTCCTGATCATATATAAGTTTGAAACTCTTCATCATATACATATCTGCTCTGTGCTGATTTTTTAAAAATATATATATGGTTAGGATAAAACTATTCCAATTATACTATTCAGTCATACACTGTGCATGGTTGGATTTCTTTTCTAAAAAAGAAAACAAAATTATAATACCTACATATTATATATGCCATGTACAGATGTACAGCTTATACTTATTTATTTGGCCTTGTAAAAAAATGCCCAACTCCACAAGTGCAAAAACTTGATATCTCTAATTAGGTCTACATGTATATACTAAATACTGTAATGTGGAGTCGAATACAGGTATACTTGGGGCGAAATCACTTAAAAGTTTCAAGGCAAACCTGTTATCCAAAAGAAATTTGTGACCCCCTCCATCCTTTCCAAAATGATTTATTGATTTGATTTGAACATATTTCATTACGATAAATATATACAACGGGATTGGGTACAAGTTCTAAAAACTTAATTCACCCTCTCCCTTCATATAATACCACAATGTGGTAACAGGGACCTATATACTATAGTATATACATGTATGTCCCTGGCGGTAATTTCCAACAGTTTGTACAGAATAAATCAACTCACAACATAGATACATGTATATACTGCTAAATTATTGTCTATAAGCATTTTAAATATAAGAACAATCAATTAAATCTACCAGAATGCTGAATATAAGAATGTAAAATAGAAAAGAGATATAAGTTTTCACCAATACTGAGTGAAGTATCCCCCCCCCCCCCTTCGAGTGAAGTAAGAGTCTCAACAATATGAACTTTAACATGTTACTTAATCGTCAATGGAGAAAAACCGCAATTTTTTTAAAACATAATTTACCTTTAAACTGGTGGTACAAGATATTCAATAAGTTCTTTTTGCATAAGTTGAGCTGGTCTAACATTTATAAACATAGGCTAAGTTTGCCACATGAAATCTACAGGAAGTAAACAAAACAGGGACGGTGTAAAATTAGGAAACGTCCCCTTGTTGTCTTCTGTTTTGATTTAAACGTATTTAGCTCACCTGAGCTGAAAGCTCAAGTGAGCTTTTCTGATCACCCGTTGTCCGTCGTCCGTCCGTCCGTCTGTCTGTAAACTTTTCACATTTTCGACTTCTTCTCAAGAACCACTGGGCCAATTTTAACCAAAACTTGGTACAAAGCAACCTTGGGTGATCGAAGGGGAGTTTAAATTGTTAAAATGAAGGGCCAAGTCCCTTTCAAAGGGGAGATAATCAAGAAAAGACAAAAATTGGATGGGGTCATTAAAAAATCATCTTCTCAAGAACCACTGGGCCAGAAAAGATGAAACTTATGTGGAGGCATGCTGGGGTAGTGTAGATTCTAAATTGTTCAAATCATGACCTAGCTCCGGGGGTAGGCGGGGCCACAATAGGGAATCCAAGTTTTACATTGAAATATGTAGTAAAAATCTTTAAAAATCTTCTTCTCAAGAACCACTGGACCAGAAAAGCTGAAACTTACTTGGAAGCATGCTGGGGAAGTGTAGATTCTAAATTATTCAAATCGTGACCCCCGGGGGTAGGGCGGGGCCACAATAGGGAATCCAAGTTTTACATTGAAATATGTAGTAAAAATCTTCTTCTCAAGAACCACTGGACCAGAAAAGCTGAAACTTACTTGGAAGCATGCTGGGGAAGTGTAGATTCTAAATTATTCAAATCATGACCCCCGGGGGTAGGGCAGGGCCACAATAGGGAATCCAAGTTTTACATTGAAATATATAGGAAAAATCTTTAAAAATCTTCTTCTCAAGAACCACTGGGCCTGAAAAGCTGAAACTTATGTGGAAGCATGCTGGGGTAGTGTAGATTCTAAATTATTCAAATCATAACCCCCGGGGGTAGGGCGGGGCCATAATAGGGAATCCAAGTTTTACATTGAAATATATAGGAAAAATCTTTAAATCTCTTCTTCTCTAGAACCACTGGGCCAGAAAAGCTGAAACTTATGTGGAAGCATCCTGGGGTAGTGTAGATTCTAAATTGTTCAAATCATGACCCCCGGGGGTAGGGCGGGGACACAATAGGGAATCCAAGTTTTACATTGAAATGTATAGGAAAAATCTTTAAAAATCTTCTTCTCAAGAACCACTGGGCCAGATAAGCTGAAACTTACTTGGAAGCATGCTGGGGTAGTGTAGATTCCAATTGTTCAATTCATGACCCCTGGGGATAGGGCTGGGCCACAATAAGTACTACGGGGGGGGGGGGGAAATCAGGTGAAAAACAGCAAGGCCAAAGTTACTCAGGTGAGCGCTGTGGCCCATGGGCCTCTTGTTTATTGATACAATCAATGGGATTGGACACAAGATTGTCCTCTCCAACACATAGAAAATGACAAAAATGTATGAGGTCAATAAGGCACAACTACAAGAAATGAGCAGAAAAAAAGAAAGCAAAATATATTAACAAAAGGAAAAAATATATACCCTCGAGGAACCTATTTCGGTGGTAATAAGCATTCAATTACAAAATTTTCCTAACGAGTACAACTGAATATATAGGGCATTAGTGCAGTTTTGCTTTAAAGGCTCCTATAATTTATCCAAATATTACCAAAATTTTAATCAAATACTGACGAATAGATATTTTTTCTCCAAATGTATATGACATTCTGTTTTGGGCACGTGCAAATAGATGAGGTATACCTAAATCAGTGGCATGATGCTTTTCAAAGGTTTCTACCTTCATAAGTTCAGCACCAAACAAACAAATGACTTAGAAATTATGGAAATGAACAAAGCAATACATTTAGAGAATATTTTAACAGATATATATGTTAATATTGAAAGTGATGAATAAAATATTCACCATATCTGAAAATTTCCTTTGAAGTAAAGCAGTCATGGGTCCAGTGGTTACCTTGTTCTTACAGCCAAACTAAACTCACATGACAACACCAACTTTGGGCAAAAATCCTGATTACAGTCAAAAACAGTTCTCTTTTTAACCTTTTCCAGCTGATAAAAAATATTTTACAGTTTCTTTATGTATTTATTGTAAATTTATTTACTATCTAAATGCAACTAGCCTTTAAAAATATACACATAGATCATATAACAGACATGAACTTTCTGGAGTCCCCTAAAATTTTAAATTTCTTTAAAATTATCAAATGGCTTAACTTTTATGTACAGCTGTTAAACTTTTAAACTGTTAAACTTTTGTCTAGATTTTGTTTTTGATTGCATACTCCCAACAAATTTAAATTTAATTGGTAATTTCGATCTTATTTTTTTTACCTTTCAAAAATTGAGTATGTTTCAAAGTTAATCAAACACTGTTGTATCTTCATGTTTTTTCTTAGGGATATTTTTACTTTTATATGACGTACTATAAGCTACTTTGTTACCTAACATTATTCATATATAGATAATTATACAAGATCTTTATTTTACCACTGTGCTACCTAGCTGTAATTGTACAGATTACAGAACCAAAAATTTGTAGGTATTTATATATATTGTGATTGAACAATGTCAGCTATCTAGAACATGTACATGATATACATGTAGCAAGACATTTTTTTTAATAAATAAAAAAAATATAGGTGGATCAGCTACATAATTATCTGATTTTGCACCATTTTATATGCTTCATTTACAAATTTATGGTGGTATATACTAGTAAGTCTCTTCCCAACGACACCTTGACCGTCACATTTCACATTGCCGTAAGAACGGGGGGGGGGTGCCCCAATAATTTTGCCAATATATAGAATACTATAGAAAACATGCCTACTACCCCCCACCCACCCCCCACTGAAATTGCTTCCTTCGGGCCTCTCTCACACCTCGGTCCTGGCAGGTCATCTGGACCCAAACAATGTTCTGTGATGGAAAAATTACACTTATAGCCCCCCTCCCCACTTCTTCCGAGTACAGAATTTTTTCTACAGTAAATTTTCCTTTAAATGCTGGTCCCCCTCCTCCTGCACACTTTTTGTTGTTGTAAGATCGAGCACTGGTAAATTCCATGAGTTAGATAGGTAATAAGGTGATTTTTTTTGATTGTCAATTACGACAGCAACAGTGATGACGACAGACAACTGACTTCGGCTCAGGCGAGCTAAAAAGTAATCCCAGAAAAGCACAATCTACCGTGCAGAGTTGTTCGTAACTCTCTCAGACACCTCTGCAATGGGCTCGCGTCAAGATTTTTGAAATCAAGTAAAAACATGGTATTTCAAGGATCATTTCAAATTCAACTAATAGTTGTATTTAGAATATATCGACCGTAAAGGACAAACATTAGCGTAGGTATTTATTTTATAATAAAATAAAATAAACGCACTATTTTTCGTGATATGCGAGCCAACGACAGAGATGAATGTATGAGCCGATGGTAGAGAGTGAGAAAAGCAGTGCGAGTAGTTGCCGAAAAGCAGACAGGTTGCGAAAATAAATATAAAAAGTAAGACGGTCATGCAGGCCAACTTTCCTCCCGTTTAGAGTAATCCAGAATCAAGAGACAAGCTTATGTGTCTGTAATATACATGCACCTATCTCGTGCACATCATGATACACGATATACATGTAGGTGATGTGCTACTAGTTTAATGTTTGTTTAATGTCTCTTACAGAATTTCTCACTCATTTATAAAGGATTAAGTGGTATTCAACCAATTACCACAACTTTACCATCACTTTGAAAGACACACAGTTATTTTGACAGTGACCTCTTAATGAAAAGGGCGCTAACTAAAGGCTACAAAAGTCAAATGTGTGTATATTTCCGGTAACCCGTCCAACGTTAACCCTATTTTACCCACTGACCCTACTATACTACTTTTTTTTACACCAACTCCACCGTGCCTTTGTTCACTAGTATAGTTTTCTCATTGTGCAGTCAATGCATCTCAGACACTGAAAGAAACAAGACGTGTTTGTGAAACACTGATGCTCTCGTATAGCAACTTATAGGAAAGGTTAAACTTTCTCAAATGCAAAGCAAATATGTTGGTACCCAAAGTAAGGTCTTGTCTCGGGGAATAAATCTGTGAAATATGAATGCCCTAGCAGCAGCCATTGAATAGATATGGAAAACTGAAAAGGTTAAAGTATGTCAAAAATTAAGGTCAAGGTCAAAAATTAATGGTGCCCAAGGAAAGGCCATCTCCCAAGAAATACACAGGTGAAATATAAAATCAGATGCACCAATCGTTAAAAAGTTATGGCCAAGATTAAAGTTTTCCAAAAGTAGTCAAATTCCAAGGTCAAGGTCAAAGGGTCAAAGTTGTTGGTTTCCAAAGAAAGGTCTTGTCACAAGGATCACACATGTGAAGTATGAAAGTCCTAGCACCGACCGTTCAAAAGTTATGGTCAAGGTTAAAGTTTTCCAAAAGTAGGTCAAACTCCAAATTCAAGGTCAAAGTTGTTGAAATCCATAGTAAGGTCATGTCACAAGGATACACATGTGAAATATGAAAGCCCTAACACTAACCGTTCAAAAGTTATGGCCAAGGTTAAATTTCTTCAAAAGTAGGTCAAACTCCAAGGTCAAAGGTCAGAGTTGTTGGTATCCAAAGGAAGGTCTTGTCACAAAGATTACACCTGTGAAGAATGAAAGCCCTAGCACCAACTGTTCAAAAGTTATGGCAAAGGATAAAGTTTGGTAAAATTTTGCAAATCTGGGTCAAACTACAAGGTTAGGGTAAAAAAGTCAAATATGGTGGTACCCAAAGAAAGGTCTTGTCACAAGGAATACACATGTGAAATATGAAAGCCATAGATCCAAACGATTAAAAGTTATGGGCAAGGTTAAAGTTTTTGAGGAGAAACAGACAGACAGCTAGACAGACGGGCGGACAGGTCAAAAACTATATACCCCCGAATCTTTGATACGGGGTCAGAAAAACGTGTCTATCCAATTTTAATGAGTACACTTATTTTGTTGGGATGTTTATTCATGTATGTATGAATGTATGTACATATAAGAAAACTAGATGTGTCTCAATGCCACGAATCCCCCCCCCCCCCCCGGCATTTTTAAATTTGCTTGTCAAACTTGACATGTACTTAATATACCTGCATATACAATTTCAACCTTATACATACATCCCTACAGAAATTAGCGGATTTTTTTTTTTTTTTGGGGGGGGGGGGGTCACAGTAGATCAGTCGGTAGAGCGCTCGCTCCGTGATCGGAAGGTTGTGTGTTCGAATCACGGCCGCAACTGACCTAATTCGATAAAAAAAAAATAGGTAGTGACTGTTCCTTCGCCAATTGCTTGGCACTTTGAAGAGAAAGTTGCGGGTCCTTCGGATGAGATCTTAAAAGCCGAGGCCCCGTGTCACGGTAGGCGTTGAGACGATAAAGAACCCTCACTGCTCAATGGCCCTGAGTGCCGAGTAAAGGTCTAAATTTGAAGCCCTTCACCGGTATACGGTGATGTCTCTATATGAGTGAAACATTTTCGAACGGGACGTAAAAAACATACAATCAATCAAGCTTAATATGCCCCGTATCGAAGATTCGGGAGTATATATAGTTTTTGCCATGTCCGTCTGTCTGCCTTTCTGTTTGTCAACAAAAACTTTAGCGATAACATTGCTCATAATTTCTGATTGATTGGATCTATAGCTTTCATATTCCACACGGGTATTCCTTCTGACAGGACCTTTCTTTTATCTTATTTGATCTTTTGACCTTGGAGGTTGACCCAGTTTTACAAAATTTTACCCAGCTTTAACCTTGATCATAACTTTGAACAGTTGGTGCTAGTGCTTTCATACTTCAAAGGTGTAATCTTTGTGACAAGACTTTCCTTTGGATACCAACAACTCTGACCTTTGACCTTGACCTAGGAGTTTGACCTACTTTTGAAGATTGGTGCTAGGGCTTGCATACTTCACATGTGTAAACCTTCTTTTGGATACCAATAACTTTGACCCTTTGACCTTGGAGTTTGACCTACTTTTTTAAGACTTTAATCTTGGCCCTAACTTTTGAACAGTTGGTGGTAGGGCTTTCATAATTCACATGTGTATTACTTATGACAAGACCTTCCTTTAGATACCAACATTTATAGCCCATTGATCATGACCTTGGAGTTTGATCTTCTTTTGGAAAACTTTAACCTTGGCCATTACTTTTGAGCAGTTGGTGCTAGGGCTTTCAAACTTCACATATGTAATCCTTGAGACAAATCCTTCCCTTGGATACCGACTTTGACCCTTTGACCTTGGAGTTTGACCTACTTTTGAAAAACTTTAACCTTGGCCATATCTTTGAACGGTTGGTGCTTAGGCTTTCATATTTCACATGTGTATTTCTTGTGAGAAGTACTTTCCTTGCGCACCATTAATTTTGATCTTGATGTTTGACTTACTTTCGAAAAACTCCAACGTTTTCCTTATCTTTTCAATGGTTGCTGCTAGGAATTTCATAATTCACAGGTAGATTCCTCGGGACAAGACCTTACTTTGGGCAACAACATATTTGATTTGCATTTGAGAAAGTTTAACCTTCGCTATAAGTTGCCATACGGGGGCATCATTGTTTCACAAACATATCTTGTTTTTTTTTCTACCTTCAAGTGGGATAACTCTGTCAAAAATCATTGAACCACGACTAAATTCAAACTTGACTTGTATTTATTGGTAAAATACCTGCACATGCAAATCCAACCTTATACATATAAAAGTAAGAGAGCGGAAAATGAAAATTTCTTGTTTTTTTTTCTAAGTTCAAGAGGGATAACTCTGTCAAAAATCATCGGACCATGACCAAATTAGAACTTGAACTGCGCATTCCTATGACGTATCCGTATGTCAAATGCGAGTTGAATGTGTGCAACTGTTGCCGAGATAATGAAAGTCAATCATGACGGAACAAGGTAACACTATATGCCCCGGCCATTTTATGGCTGGGGCATAAAAAGCATATCGAATAATTGCGTAAGTTTTGAATGATTGGAATTAGGGCTTTCATATTATTACACAAGTGTATTTCTTGTGACAAGATCTTTCCTCGGGTACCAAAAAATGTTGACCTTGGAGATCGATATAATATTGAAAAACTTACCTTGGCCTAACTTTTGAAAGTTGGTACTAAGGCTTTCATATTTTACAGTTGTATTCCTTGTGACAAGACTTTCAAAGGGTACCAATAATTATGACCCTTTGACCTTGATTTTGGAGTTTGGCCTACTTTTGAAAAAGAAAGTACCTTGGACATGCGTTTTAAATGGTTGGAGCTGGGGCTTTCATATTAAAGATGTGCATTTCTTGTGACAAGCCTCTTCAATAGGTACCATTAATTTTTATTCTTAGACCTTGACCTCGGAGTTTGACCTACATTTGAAAAAAAAAAAAAAAAAACCTTGGTCATTACTTTTGAACAATTGGTTCTAATGCTTTCGTATTTCAAAGGTGTATTCCTTGTGACAAGAGCTTTCTTTGGGTGCAACATTTTTAATTCCTTTACTTTGACTTGTATTTGAGAAAGCTTGACCTTTGTAATAAGCTGTCAAATGCATATGGGAGCATCAATGTTTCACACTCACATCTCGTTTATTTGGCCTAACCTTATTAGATAGTAAATTATATATATATATATATATATATATATATATATATATATATATATATATATATATCCTGAAACAAAGTCCATTTGATGGATTGCTGCACATAAACACGTTAAAACATGGGTGTATGAACATATTTACAGTTGATGGATACAAACAGATGATTTACTATAAGTCTATTACCCCCCCCCCCCCTAAAAAAACAAAACAAAAAAAACCAACCAAACAAACAAGAATATGATGAAAATAAAATTTTATTCACAATGATGTATGGAACACACACACACACAAATACAATATACATGTATTCAAATATTAATAGCATTGTATGTACCTCCATCCTCTCCCAAGGCCTAGGGTAACTGCCTCTATATCCAAAAGATACTTGTGTATTTGAAAATATATAGCCCTCAATTCATTTAAATTTTCTAAAATCTCTGCAAGTAAAATTTTATCTCCTCTCCATTGTTTTCTTGCAATGCTCTCAAGAGAACAATGATTTACACAAAAGTCATTTGCCACAACACAGTAGGAAGATTCCTACAGAGTTTTAAATGATCCCATCCAATTTTCTTACACAACTATTTATTTATTATCTCCCCTTTATTTCAACAAATCATGCTGTGAGACAAAACACTTAGCCTAATATTTCTCTTAACTTTAAAGCCTCGATCTATTTATCTTTTTTGACCTATTTGTAAAGAATACACAAGGGTAAAAAGACAATAAATTGAAAAAGAACAAATGTACAAGAATTTTTTTTAAAAAATGTACGTCACATATTAAACTAGGTCATAGTGATGGCACTTTCTCACATGTAGCTGGAGGGAGATCTTATGATTATAGGCTTCAGGGCACAAGTCACATCTGAATGGCCTCTCTTTTGTATGAGTGAGCATATGACTGTTTAAGTTGTAATTTGTGCGGAAGAACTTTCCACATGTGATGCATTTGAAGGGTTTACTATCCAAATGTACCTTCATGTGACGGTGCAGTGTCCCAGAGAATGTAAATCCCTGCCCGCAGAGGTCACAGATAAAGGACTTTTCTTTTGAGTGAATCTTAACATGTTTTCGCAAATTAGATGGATGTTTAAAAGATTTTCCGCATTGTTCGCAATCATATGTTTTATCGTCATGTTCCTTTAGCATATGTTCATTCAAGCAACCCCTTCTGTTGAATGTGGATCCACATATCTCACAAATGTGTTTGACTTTTCGTTCCTTTGAACATACATGCTGGCGTAAATGGAGAGCTTCAGAGAAAGCCTTTTTGCATATGTTGCATTTCACCTTTTTCACCATTTTAGGCAAGTGTGTTCTCTTATGAGAAAGAAGGGCAGATCTAGACTTGATCATTTTGCCACACTCGTCACAATTTGCACCTTTTCCTACACTCAGTGGCCATAGTGGGAAGTTGTGCTTTCGTCTGTGATATTCCATTTTACCTTTACTCAAAAACTTTTCACCACAGAGAAAACAATAAAATGCTTTATGCTCAGTGACATTTTTATTTTCGGTCTCAGAACTCTCAACTTTCACATCTTCATTGTCTGATTCTATGTAATCAGATCCATCATTATCACTTAAATCCTCTAAGGAACAGTTTTTTAAATCACCATCTTTCTCAATGAAATCAGTCTTTGAATTTGCCTTCCTTGAATGCTCCTCCATTGGTGTGCTCTCCTTTGAAATACTACTTTTATAATCCTCTAGCATCTTCTCCTTGGGAATTCTTAACAGCTTTATCACTGGCACTCTCTTCTTTGATATAATGCTTTCAAAATCTTCCAGCTTTTTCTTCTTTGAAATGATTTCTTTAGATGTTTTTGTTATTTTTACTTTTAAAATGCCTCTTCCAGAAGCCTTAGCAACCCCCTTCTTTTCTTCATCTGTATCATCTTTTTCTTCACCTGTATCTCCTTTCTCTTCGGAAACATCTTCCTTCTCTTCAGAAATATCTTCCTTTTTTTCATCTGAATTTACCTTTTCTACAGGAACATCTTCCTTTTCTTCATCAGAATTTACCTTTTCTACAGGACCATCTTCCTTTTTTTCAACTGCATCTTCTTTTTCTTCAGAAACATCTTCCTTCTCTTCAGAAAAATCTTCCATCTCTTCAAATTCCTCTGATTCCTCATCTCTGTCAGAACCCATCTGCACTGCCGGGGAGCTGTTTTTCTGTTGATTTACATCCAATTCTGTTTCAGGTATTACAGCCTCTAGTTCATACTCTTCACTTGTTTCATTATCGACCTCTTCCTCACTATTTAAGAAGTTTAAGATGTTGTTCACCTGACTCTGTACGTCATCCAGCTGTTCATGTTCCATCTTTACATTTGCTCGTGCAGGTTTTAAGAATGCTTTGAAATTTTGCTGAGTAATGTCAAACATGCCAGAGTTTGTTTCAGCTGAACACCATTCCATTACTGCCGTATTAGACTCGATGGAATCAAAAATCTCTGTATCTTGATCAAACCTGCAATTATCTATTACAGCAGATCGAACTTTCTTTTCAATTTCAGGATTCAAATAATCAAGTCCTGCCTGGTTGTCAGTCATGCTCTCCAGATTGGTGGTAGGTTGAGATCTTTTTCTAGTGTTTGATTTTGAGTTTTGAGTTGTGCTCGACATTGATTTAGATGTAGACATATCTTTATTTCTCTTTTTTTCAACTTGATTTCTGTGTTTTAATTTTGGTTTTAATTTGGATGCCTTTGTGGATGTTGTGTTACTATTTATTGCTTTAACTTGAACCTCTTGACACAATTCTGGTTTATCTTTTGATTGTGATGTACCTGTAATCTTGGTAAAAACTTCTTGGACTTGTTCTGTATCACAGGATATTGGTGATGAGTTGGACTTTCTGGAAGTTGTTGTATCATCTTGAACCTCATCTCCATCACTTGATTTTGGCAGTGATCTGGATTCTACTGTAGAAGTTGTCTCACCATTCAAATCCTCATCTTGATTTCTAAGAGTTGCTTTATTTTCTGATCTGTATCTGGTTGAACCTTTTGCATCCCCTTCTATGTCTTCCTGAACATCATCTCCATGACTCGATCCTGGCTTTGATTTGAGCCTTGGTGAAGGTCCTTCGTTATTTTTCATTTCACCAACCAGTTCTTCATGGGTTCTTTCATGCTTCTCCAGGTTTACCTGTTTCATGTATGCTCTCCTACAGACTCTACATTTGTACAGTGTGACTGGCGATTTATTCATGTTAGGCATTTGAGGGTGTAACTCCTTGTTTGTGTTGATGATAGAGGTGCTGTGGCTTGAAGCTGGAGATTTTTGACTGCGAGAGTTACGAGTGTAAGTAAAACCTCTGGACTGTGGATCCCACTCTTTATCCAAAAACTCAACAAAATGAATTTGCTCCATCTGAAAAAATACAATGTATTTAAAATCAGTGCATACTTATTAAGACTATTATTTACTAATTGTTTTTAAACATAGAAGTGTCATTTTTAAATCAAATTCTGAACATGCACCACATGCAAATATTCACTTGATTCAATTTGAAAGAAAAAGTTTTTTCATGAACAGCAAGGCAACATTTTTTTAAAAACAAACATCTGTTTGTGGACCTGCTTTTCTTGAGGCAACTTCTTTGTACACCTTCTTCATTATGTATTCCCTGGTATTCCTAATAATTTGAACAAGGGTACTAATATATCATTTTGAACTTTTAACATTTGGGGGGGGGGGGGGATGTAGATTTCCTGGTAAAATTAAAATATGTCAATAGGACATGAATGCAGGATTTATTAGTAATGCATCGTGAAAAGAAAAGTAACTTGCAGGGTTGCCCTTAAGAATTGATATTTCCTACACAGCTGTTTACTTACAGTGTATTTAAAAATTTCATTTTCAATATTTACCTGACCTTAAAACCAAGGGTTATGTGATTAACAGGGCTGTGGATAACCACTCACTAATTATTGCAAGTAAAATTTGCTGTAAGCGATTAGATATTATAAACCTCAGAGTCACTTACATGGGAAACTTTTTTTCTGGAACATAATTACATTTCAGTTTTATTTTGTATGTACTTTCAGTGTACTAAACTAAATTATTTGTGTTGCATGCAAAGCAGTTAATTCTAATGCGCGTGTGACATAGACCAGATTTCATCGAAGTGGTTAGAAAACAAACTACTTTTGATTGATTGATTGGTTGAATGTTGTTTAACATCCCTCTTGAGAATTTTTCACTCATATGAAGACGCCACCACTTGCCGGTGGAGAGCTGCAAATTTTGTCCTATACTTGGCACTTACGGCCATTGAGCAGTGAGGGATCTTTTTCGTGCCAGCACCTACTGCGACACGGGACCTCATTTTATAGTCTCATCCGAAGAACCGGTCTCCACGTCCCACAGTGGGATTTGAACCCGCGACGTAAGGATCAACTCCTTACTTCGCGACTCTAGAGCTTGTTCTTAAATATTTTTTTGTTTTAAGAATCAGCTAAGATTATCAGATACTTCAACGGGAATGGTAATTTTATCATGTCGAATTCACAATAGTAGATGGGAATCAAACTTCATCTCACATTGTAAGTCATATAATTTTGACCCCCCCCCCCCCCCCCCCCCCCCCAGCCATTAAACACAACAAAATGTAACAAACATTATATTATTTGATCAAAATTTTTAGAAAAAAAACCTGTTGAAACATGAACACTACGAACATAATTGTTGAACCAAAGAAAATTCATTTAAAAAAAAATTAAGGAACATTTTATGTTTATTGTTGTTATTTTCTAATTTATATATAATGTGGGTTCATGGATCCCACTGTGGGCCTATAAACTTTAAAAAGTAGGGTGCCCACATGGCCCCTAAGGTTTCAACTATAAACTACAACACTGTTCAACAAAATTGAATGTACACTGCCTACTTAGTAAATGCTTGGATATCATTGACAAGATGACTATTATAATAATGTTCTTGTTGAACTGAAAATAAAGAAATAAGATATTCAAGAAATTTCCAATCCTGTACATGTATTATTTGTTTAATCTACTATCTATCTGGACAGTGGTATATACATTGAATCAAAGTGAAATTAATTTTGGTGGACTTAGGTAGTTACTGCAAGAACATATGAATAGCATTGCTAACTTAGCAGCTAGATGCATTTACATTGCATTATGGGTCTAGAGGGTACTGTCAAAAAATTGTTTTGATCAATCTGCATCTGAATTTTCTCTTCAAGTTCGTGTTGCTTTAAGAGCACACACTGCCGAGCTGTATTTTCTATAAATGATCCATCATATTTTTCCTCCCTCTGATTTATATCTCCTGCAGGGATAGACATTAACTTTCAGATTCACTTGCCCTTCGGGCAAGTGATCTCAAACTTTGACTTGTCCGAATGCAAAACTTGGTTGCCCAAAATTAAGATGGAACTTAAGACGAAATTATTAATTACTGCAAACGTTATGAAAAGAAAAAATGTGACGAAATACACTACTGTCAATTTGGCAAGTTGAGCTACCGGGTACCTGAAACAATTTCGATCCTGCATTTGTACATAAATGTATACCGCTGTAATTGTAAATTTAACCTGTTAACATACACTGCCATGCAGCAATAACCCTCCGTTTCCTTTTTAAAAAAAATCATATTTTTGAAAATTAATTGCGGTAGGATCATTTTGTGATTCGTGATTTTTAGCGATAACTGTGAAGCAACGCTTAAGGAAGATAGTTGCTACGTAACATACATCTTACCTTGATCAGGATACAACGTGTAACACTGTACTTATATTCTGTGCGTGAATAATCTAATTTCATAATAAGAAGTTAACAAAATTTTGTTAGACGTAGAGTGTATTTCCTACGAAAGAAAACAACAAATTCGATTTTTATATGAACGGTATAATCCAGAAACGCTACCAAGGAATTTCGAATGCAAAACATTGTCAGTCAGGTGCGTGGGGGAAATCAAGTGTTCAATTTATTGTTTTATTTATAAATTAATGTAAACTAAATAAATATGTACATTTGTATGAGAAAAATTCACTTGCCCGATCGGACAAGTATGTCGACAATTTCACTTGCCCGAACTGAGAATTTACTTGTCCCGGGCAATCGGACAACCGTTAATGTCAATCCCTGTCCTGGCATTAAACTTGGCTCTTCATTTGAAAAGAAAAAGAACTTGAATAGTCCTTATCTAAGGATGCTTTTTGCTAAGTTTGTAATTAGTCTATTGGTTCTTAAGAAGTTTAAAATGTAAAGAGTTAACAGACAACAGATGAATAAGGAGTGGAAGATGAATAATAAAATGTTGATCAAAGAGGTTCACAATAGATTTTTTCCTCGGGTGAGCTAAACAATTATGTAGACTGAAGGAATTTCTCTAAAATTGATCAATTTATGGTCCATGGATCTAGAGTCTCAAGATAAAATTTCTGTAACAGTAAAACATGTTTACAACGAAGTGCCAAGGGACAGATGATTTTGCTTCGTTATAAACATAATGTGTTATATCCATCAAGTTCAGGATATATTTTAAAGTCATGGGGAATGAAAATCACTTAGTTGTAAGCATCAATTAATTATTTAAGTGTTCACTCACAGGCGTTTGTTATACAGTACGCTAGTTTTCTACTATACAATAACATTAATTGTTAGTGTTATTGTATATAGTAGAAAACTAGCATACTGTATGAAACAAACCCCTATGTGTTCACTATCAGAGTGTTTATTAATAACTATACTTGCCTATTACATTAAAGGACTTATCACATGTTTCACAATTACTTGAAATTAAAAGCAAATCACATAACTATCAAGATAAGATTTTTTTTATTATACAAAATGAAATAATATTAAAAGGAAAAAGAAATTAAAAATTACCATTCTGTATCATATATTCGGCTACATGTACTTCGGATGTTACTACTCTTTTCAATGTTGAGTCTTCAAGACCGTCATTTAATGGCCAAACCAACAAGGACCTTGATGGAGTCTAAACAAATACTGTAAAAATGTAAAATTCGATAATACATTTGATTCCCTAATAAGCCTCATCTTTGAGTTTGTATATAAAAAAAAATGAGAGCATCTGCGAATATTATTTTGCTTCACCTAGATGCTAGTTAACAGCGGTTAATGAACTTATACAGCAATAATATTTTCAAAACCACCCAAAGTGGCATATTTTCAAAGTGGTAGTTTGATCTTCATTACACATATAATCATTGTATGTATAACAGAGAAAAGAGCGGACAAGATGCCTCTGTAAACAAGGGCTAAAATACCTTTAAAAAAACCTGAGAAAATTCGAATAAGCATGCTGCTACAAAAGCAATTAAGCAGTTGTTCAACGATTGCAACTCTAATGCATCATCATGAGGAATAAATATGAACAAATACATACGATTTGCTTACATTCAAATCAAGAGGGACTGGGAAGAACACGCTTTTCTTCTATTCTAATTTTCCATTATTTACTTCCGGATGTTTATCGAGGCAGAGAGGGACAGGGTAAAAGAGGGTCCCGTAAGTGTGACATCCGCGCCATATAAAAATTATTTATTGTTATAAAGCAGCGACGACACTCTCACTAATAAAATAAACATTTAGTTTAACATTCCTATGGAAATATAAAAAAGGGCTTTAACCTTTTGTAATTACTATGGTTGGAGTAAAATAGAATATTATAAGATGACAAGGCCTTTGCATTTTTTTCAGTTTTAAATTTCGTCATTATTTTTAATCATTTTACTTTATTTATTTTTGTTTTGTTTTGTTTTGTTTTGTTTGTTTGTTTGTTTGTTTGTTTTTTTTTGGGGGGGGGGGGGCTACAGATGTGGGAAACAATAATATACTCGGACAAACATTTCGGAGATTTTAAATTCGTATATATCATGTATATGTATAGGAATAACTGAAACCTCTGCCTCTGTCTTATCTCCCTTATGGGATAAGTCTACTAGTACTACCGAATCTGACTATGTACATGTACTTTTAATGCACGTATGTATTGCTTAAATCCCATTTTGAAATTCGTACAAAAGCTCTAAAACGGTAAGAGAGAGAGAGAGAGAGAGAGAGTGAGTGAGAGAGAGACTAGGCCGTAATAACCATTTCAAGGCAAGTATGTCAAATGCCTCACTAAAATCTTTGAGTTTGTTTTATTTAAAGGACTACTTTCACTGGTAACGGGACATTTTGCCCCTATTGACGGTTCGCGCCGAGACCATTCGCCCCCAAAGACCTTTCGCGCCGAGACGTTTCGCGCCGAATTTAATCTACAGTGTCTATATAGATAACGATATATTACGATGTTTTAAGATAAATATTTATACATAAGGTTAATATTGATTTTATTAAAAAAATGTTCTAAAGTTACTAAAAAAGTTTTCATGTTTAAATTGTTGAAATAGGCTTATACCATAATTAAATGTATAATTATCCATGTGCAGATATAATTATGTTTATTCAGCAATCATAATTCTCTGATTCAGTTTTGTAATTAAGGTGTTATATAATAACTATAATTTGGAGACTCTCCATGTTAAGATAAAGAGGAGAATTAAAATTATGAGACGGGTGTCAAGTTCATTTTACCGTTGCTCTATAGGATGCACACTGACTCCAATTTTCTTTATGATTTTGAGTAATGCTATATAAGTACTTATCAAAAATATACTTCTCAACAGGAGTTCATAAAAAAAAAAATCAGGTCTGACAATTTCTTTTTTTTTTTTAATTTTAGAGGCAAAATTATCTCAATCAGGTCTTCAGAGTGTCACGTCTTTAGTATATTGATTGAACCAATGGACTGGATTAATATAACACAGTAAAAAAGTTATTAAGAAGTTAATAATTGCTGTTAACAATTGATAATTACCGCATAATCAATTAATTGATCTTCTAGGGGCGAAACGTCTCAGCGCGAATGGTCTTTTGGGGCGAACCGTCCCGCACTCCTTTCACTTTAAATATCTGCGTCATTGTATTTATTCTAAACATTAGTTCTTCGTTGTATTTTCCGGAAACTGACCGTCTCATCAGTTGGATTTCGGATCGGAAACCCTTGGCTAGCGAAGATGAGGGTGGGATAGCGGCAATATGCTAATATTTGTTGTACAAGTGTGCAGATGAGTATAGGCTGGGTTATCAAATTACTCAACAGATTATGACACCCCCCCCCCCTTTCCCCGAGAAAAAAATAATTTGATTTCTTTTCTAGTCACAAAGTATATAACTGAGTCAAGAAATAACCCCAAATCCCAACTTATGATACTATTTAATCAGTCGATGCAATGTCCTATGTTTTAGTACAGAACTCTCATCTTTCTATGATGTTTAAATGTCTAAAAATAGCCAAGACCATGCACCGAGTTTTTAAAGGTTTGAATTGCGGTGCGTTGGTGGATCGGGGTAGGGGGTTGGGGTGGTGCTTCTATTAAACTGGTAAACCTTGAAACACGTTATACCGTTCATGATTATGAAGGGATAGGGGTACAAATAGTCATGTATAGTATTTCAAAACATGAATTATTATATCAGACAAAATTTTGTCATGCATATTTTTATGTTTATCAAACGTGTCAAAATTAAGAAGAACCTGAATGTTCAGTTTTTGATAATTCTGAAATATGCAATAAGTTAAAAAATATTACTTTGTGTATAATTCTATTAGCATACTTGTAGCCCTAAAATTTAAGTGATATTAGGGTTAGAGCTTGGATATACAGTCTATTACGTCGTCGAAACTCCATATTCCGTACGTTGTTCTATTCATGGTATGGGCATTTAGGCCTGAACTGTTTAGAACTACACACCTTTGTTCTTTCAAGTGTTTCCCTTCTATTTTCTTTGTTTAATTGACAGTATTATATAATTTAATTTTAGTTGTAACACGTCATTTGATTGGATAAAAGATTCCGTTTATATCGTATAACATAAGTTGCCTAGTCACAATGAGTTACGTCAAAAACGTATTACTCCGCTTGACGTTACTTTTAAAATACGCTCAATTTGAAGCCATTATTGGAGGAAAAATTGTCTTATTATCTACACTGAAATTAAATTATAAGGAATGAAGCTTATTTTAACCTATGTTTTACGATATAACATAACTTGGGGCAGTTTACGCTTTTTTTATAAACCGTTTCGCGGTTTATAAAGCGTAAACTGCCCCAAGTTATGTTATATCGTATAACATAGGTTAAAATAAGCTTCATTCCTTAATTAGTAATGCTGCTTATGTTTCTCTATCTAACTTTTTAATAACTATACCACCTTTCATTTGATTAGTCAACGTGGCATGTCGACATGCAAACAGAAAAAAAGAACTAGACATATATACTTGTATTCCTCATGTTAGTGATACACGTGTATATATTTACTACAACTCAGTATTAACACTGTTTGTATTGCAAAATTGATTAAAATAAACAATGATTAAAGAAATTATTAAATTTTCATTTTGCTAAAACCTACGAATTTCCGAGAGGCTTTCCCCTCCCCACCACCAACAGGACGCTGCCCTTGACTTGCTGGGGACCGCCTTTGAGAGAGAGATTTATGTAGATTATTTACACGTACCAAACAAACACATCCTTGAATCAGTAAAGTATTGTAACATGAAGCGGTCACCCAAAGTTTCTACAGAATGCAGCTCAAAATGAGAAGACTACTACATTACAAGAAATCTTTTTTTTAGGGAAGTGGTTTAGTGAATATAATTTGAAAATTACATAGATTGATGTTACAGCCTTGAAAACAATTTGTTGAAATAAACACAACGGCTGCTGGGTTCGATTTAAATAATATCTAATCAATGAAAAAAAAAAAAAGAAACAATAAAGGGTGACATGAAATATTACAATTGCAGGCATATAATAATCTTTTCTTCTTTTTTTTTTTTTTACCTCACGCACACTTTTTCGCGTATCATATAAATTTTTGGATAATTTAACAAAATTAGATAGATATTTGTAAATAATAAATTAATAAATACCAGTAATTAAGTTAACATTTATTTCTAACCGTAAATTCCTATAGACTATATGTAACCACAGTTTTCGTAAGATAAAGTTGATTGGGGAGAGTAAACTGCTCAAGAATAATACAGCCTGATAATTGTATATCGGTTTGCTATTTAAGGTTGTTGCTAAAGACGGCAAAAAGAAAAATCAAAGTACTGAAGGTACTGATGGGAGTTGATTTTAAGGACTATTTCAAATAAAATTTTATGTTTTTGACTTTGTTTACAGCTTTTCAAATTATTTACAACATTATTGCTTCTTAATTTGGTATGCGAGTATCAAAAGACTAAAAAAAGTCACGATTCTAAGGAGTCAAAAAAGTAAGACTTGTTTTGATTTGACCTTAACTTTTGAATGATATGCAAAAACGTGTAAGACTTCTTCATTGCTCAAAAATTTTCAGTAATTTAAGGTATTTTCCTTACCAAAAATTTGTTTAAAAGTGGCACAGTGAGTTTTTTTTTTCGTCAGAATTAATTCAAGTTGTTGATTCCGCTCCTATATATATATATATATATATATATATATATATATATATATATATATATATATATATATATATATATATATATATATATATATATATATATAACCTTTGAATATATGATTTTTAAGTGTTCGTTTGAATTTACATATAGAGAAATGGTGTACGTTTTGCTAATTTGCATTGGCGCCATATTGTTTTCAATTTGGCAGATTTTTGTTCAATGCATTATAAAAGAAAAACTAAAGTATAGATTAAAAAATATCAATTCGGAATAATTTCTTCCTCATGTGATTCTATCTTTTATTGTGTCCTGTATCGGAATGCAATCTTTCGTTTACAAAATGACGAAAAGTTGAAAGTTCATTTCGAGTTTGAAAATCTAAAGCGAAGCTTCATTACAACGATATTCTTGTAGAAAAAATGTGATGAAAGAGCTTACAAGGTCTTTATCAAGCAAATTTAGAAATATTTGTCATTTTCCAATTTCATCCTCATCTTGCGTGAAGTTGTAAAACTTGCAATTTCAGTTTCTAAGATACAAATAATCAGATGTTGTTTTCTTTTAAACTGAAAATCCCGTTTTAGACAGAATTCAGAAAAATTGAACAAGACTCCCAGTGGGGAAAATGCAGTTTTTTTTTTTTTTTTTTTGTTTTTTTTTTTTTTACCTGAGAAAATATTGAACTCCATCATTGTCATACGATGAGGGATACGATCAAATAATTACAGTGTACTTATGTTTCATTATAAAAAAGATTCATAATTTATTATTATTATTTTTTGAAAAATATCACAAATATAACGAATATTCATTGGCAACGGTCACGTCATTAATTCATGAATAATGTGTACAACATTTAACCATGTGATGTACTCTGACCAAAGTTAAATCACGACAAATACCATCTATATACTGGTGATGAGAAAATTAATGGAGCAACATGTAAACCAGAAATAGAGAT